GTCTACCTACCTGAGCGTTAAAGTCACCAGCCATTATTACTACATCAGAGTGCCTAACTTTTTGGATGAGGCCTGAAAGCTTTCTGTAAAACTCATCTTTAACCTCGTCTGAACTGCAGTAGTCAATGAGGGCATAGGCAGATATGACGAAGAGGCAACGGCGAGTGTCCCTATCCTTACGAGTCCTTACTGTCCCGTTCAATCGAACAGCGCACAAACGACTTTCGACTGGGATCCAGTCTAGGAGAGATTGTTCAGCTCTACAACTTAATGCTGTGTCTACGCCAGCAAGACCCCGGGAAGGAGCATCAGGGCTTCCAGATACGCGAACAGTAAATCGAGCTGCTTCTTTATTTTGACAAGATGGAATCAGATTAGTGGTTTTACTAGGATCCTGTATACGCGTTTCGGAGACGCAGCATACATCGATTGAGCGAGATTCTAATGTCCTAGCTAAGGAAGCCTGTTGCCCTATTTGACACAATGTCTGTACATTAAATGCTCCAACATGTAGTCCAGAACGGGTTTCAAGAGACCGCTGCATTAGCGGTGCAGCGTGACAACCCTTCCTTTCTTGTGAGACGGCAGCATCGCTGCAGATGTTGGTTGTCCGAGGGAAACACCTTACTGCTGTCACACCCCTCTGCAGTCAGCGGTACGACTTCGCCCTCAGACCTTGAGTAGCTGCTTTTATTCTCATGGTTCTCCAATCGATCCTGCCTGGCATGGTGCGAGGAACAAGAAAATATGTTCCATCCAATATAGCTTGTTTGGGTCATCACGTTAGGCAAGCTCGACCACTACGTCAAGGTAGCAGCTAAGGTCAGGATTTTTGCTAGTTAGGTGAGCCATAATGTGCGAAGAGGCGGTTGGTCTCGGTAACATCTACTGATCTGTTAGGTGTTCGGAAACTCAACCCGCCGGCTGTGGACATGACGATGAGTGGAGTCAGCCTAAGCGAAGGCTGATAAAAAGCCTACGCATTGAAATTTAACAGTGGCATGTAGCGAAAGTAAGAGACATGAAAAAGACGGTAGTAGTAGAGAAATGCTCCGTGTTGTCAAGTGGTACTAGAAAGCCAAATGTTAGCGAAACGATCTCGAATAAGGATGGCTTTATTATTCATTCTCAATCCAGGAGATTGAATCGATGGGCAGTACAATTTGGAGATCAATTCAACTGTCTTTCAGCCACACTTCGGTTTCCCATGATCTCCAGTCATCCTGAATGGCAAATAGATGTAAGTCCTCCGACTGTTCCTGAAGTTGAATAGGATATAGGAGAACTGCGGACCCTGACTAGATATTCGCCGAGATTTTTGAGTGTAGTGGCCCAGTTTTAGCTGTTAAATTGACTGATAGGTCCCAAAAAATAGACACACATTTAGGCGTCCGACAATAGTTGTCTTCCTGGTCCTTAAGGCGGCATTCGACTCTGTCGATCGTGAGGTTCTGTGGCAGTGTCTGTCATTGAGAGGTGTACCAAAGAAGTACAATAACCTCATACAAGCTCTCTACTCGAACACTACAGGTCGAGTTAGAGCTTATGGCGAACTGTCACTGCGATTCATTACGTCAAGTGGTGTCCGCTAGGGGAGCCCACTTTCCCCATTCTTGTTTAATTTTATCATAGACATGCTCTTAGAAATAACCTTATCCTCGTCTGAATTTTCAGGAGTAGAACTTTTACCAGGTGGCCCGCTTATCGACTTAGAATATGCCGATGACATAGTTCTATTTGGTGAAGACGCTGACAAAATGCAGTCTTCTGACTACCTTAAGCAACAATGCGAGCATGTTCGGGATGCGGTTTTCCCCGTCGAAATGCAAAGTGTTGCTTCAAGATTGGGTTGCATCGGCACCTGAGCTAGTGATAGGGAGTGAAGTAGTCGAGTGTGTTGACCACTTCACTTATCTGGGGAGTCTCATCAGTGCTGATGGCCTGGTGACTGTTTGTTTGCTAACCAAACGACGAGTGTACTGTGCAGCAGTTCGCTCTGTCCTACTATACGGATTTGAAACATGGCCTCTAAGTTTAGAGGACTTTCGTAGGTTACTAGATGAAATATTGGAACTTCTTCAGTTGAGGTTTTTGGGACATGCCTCGTCGAGCTATGTTTTGTGGTGTAGGAGTAGATTGGAATAAACCTATGGGCGGCCAAACCAAAACATTGCAGAACTCCATGAAGTCATCTGACAGCTTGATGGGGTTATGTTGGACTTGGACATCAACACGGATATATGTTTGCTCATTTTTCTACTACTCGTCCAAACGCTGAAGAGGTTGAATATATACTTCGAAAATATGTGGAGATTAAATTTACAGTGTACTATATATAAATAACAAAGTATAATGCATTGCGCATAGGATTTATATAATTACTGCCTCGAATCGTCAGTAAATTCTTAATTAACTAATAGCTATAACAAATAAAAGTAGTTATCAATATATAAGTATATATATCAATTTATGTTTGTAGCTTCAAAGGTACAGAATGACTTTGCGAGACTGTATAAAATAAAAAATGGAAAAATATTTATGATATACTGAAAGCAATTAATAATAAGCCAATAAAACACAAGTTGAATTAAGCCAAAACGTTAACAAAGGGAGATTTATATGTACAATTTATATATATATATATATATATATATATATATATATATATATATATATATATATATATATACGCTCAACGAAAATTTTCATAATGATCACAAGCAAGAATTAATGAACTCTGAATAAAGTGCATGGCAATTTACATTAAATGAGAGGAAAGCATAGTGACGATATTAATTTGCGATATTTATTCAATCCCTTTAGTTTTTAATAATGTATGAACCAATTCCCAATTAGATTTTTCGACAAAAAGACTAATTCCAGGCAATTGAGCTGATGGAATGATAATAGCTGGAGAATTAGAAAATTGTTCCATTTCTTCAGGGTTTGTACGACTACAACTGATAGATGATGATGATGCTGTTTCATGAAGTAATACTGATTGGTTGTTTACAGAATCTAATGACACTACAGTTGATAATTTTGGAGTATCAGCCCAACGCTCTAAACTACGCAAAGCACACAGTACTTGTCCTAAACAAAACAAAAAATCATATAATGTTCAGCTTTAGTTTTAGCATACAAGAAAAAAAACTATCTGACACAAAGCAAAATTAGGTAATTACAATAGATTCTTGCATGTATGAATCCAATAAAAATCTCAGAATTACTACAAACAATAAATTTTGCCTTGTTTTCAACGTTGTACAGGGTGATCTATTACACAGTGGATTTTAAAAACAAAAACTCAATATTTACAACTGCTTGCAATTGAATATTGAATTATTGCGTGCAAAAGTTGCCATATTGCTATGAGAAAATATCAGGACACAGGTTAACAATAGACACTTTTGAAATTATTTTTGTGATATTGTGTGCTACTTATTGAATGTAATTTATTACTACTAAATTCTTAGTTGACAATATTGATAAATGATTCCTTAGTGAGTTTTTACGAATTGAAAACTGATTACTAATTTTTATAAGTCGCTTCGTAGGTTAGTGGAGTCCAGTGTAACAACAGGTGTCTGCCAATGACATTTAAGCAAGGTTGAAATAATACCAGAAGTTGACTTAATATGATGAATATCACTTATCGTCTTTTTTTAAACCACAAGGTATTCCTCAATAATTCACTGTATCTATTTTAGTATGATTCAATAAAATATACCATGGAATTCATTGTGTACATCATTATTGCAATATATGCAACCGTAGCAATCCTGAGGTTAGATGTATCGTGTTTGGAAGAGATAGCTAATCGGTTGACAAGATTATGAATCTCGACCAACTGTAGTTGGAAAATGTGTTACTTACATCCAGCAATCACTTCGATGCAGGATTAAATTTAAATGAAACTATAAATCAATAGCTTCAGGGAGACACTCCAATGCATACTACTTGTAAGCTTCGTTTTGGTTGGTACATGCCACATCACCACTACTGCCTGTTTGCGAATAGGATACATGGAGATTTTCCGAAATTGACATGATTAATCAATGCTTTATTCGAAATTATCAGTGAGTTATTTAAAACTATGACTTAATTGGTAAAATATGACATATAGCAGAGACTAAGCACTTTTGTTATAAATACAAAGAGCACAAAAATCTATTTTCACATACCCATTATATTCATAGAAGCCCATCGAGTATCAGGATGCCTGGCAAGTAAACTAAGACTTTCACCAGTGAAAAATGTGGATTTACAAGAAATATTTTGTTTGTCTTCCATAATCTGATCTCTACTATCAGGACATAATTTTGAATGCAAATAATGCTTAGTCCATAAATTGGAAATTTGTGCTTTGGAAATACGGATTTCAGGTTTCTTAGATAGTTGATCTAAGACATGTTGCACAGGGACTAGTTCGTTTGGGTTTGTAAGATAAACCTCATCTTTGAAAGATAAGAAAAGAAATTAAATTGAACCACATTAACAAAAGGAACACAAGACACCATTGATTACTTTAAAAACTGGTCAAAGGCAACTACGTATCCTCATTTTGATCTTGACTAATCCAACAGACGAATCTTATCTTAGACAACTTGTTGGAGAGATTGCGAACAGGTGGTTTACACAGGTAGAGACCAGTTATATGTTTTATAATGTTCTTGGAATTACGGTAAGAAGAAAATATGTTAAACAATGATGAGATTAACAGTTAAAAGCATCTTTAATCACGGTAGAAATGAAAGACATTTCATATTGAGAATCTAGATGAGGAAAAACAAAATATATAATTGCTTCCACAAAATTTAAACAACAGTACCCTTTCCATTGGTTTAGCGGTTAAAAAGGCTCACAGGTCCGCACCTTGGCTTACTTCGGTTTGTGCAGATGCGTAATAGTATCACTAATTATGAAAAACTGTAGTTTGAAACTGGGTAAATAAAATTGCAGTTCATAATTATGTTATTTATTCTGATCCGTATATTGATTCAAGTCATATCACAATCTGTACGAGTGTAACAAAGGAAAATCAATAGGAATTAAAAAGTAGTGCACATTTTTAATTTAAATTGTGAGAAATAACATATCTCTGCTTGAATCAAGTCAATATGAAAATAAATATTACATGACGTCAGAGTTCACCAAGCGTTTTCATGTGTTTGTCTCCGAAGCACACTGAAAGTGAGTGGATAGTAATATGACTTAGCTAGCCAAGACGAAACAGGAGGAGTCAAGTTCGGACCTTCAACATAACGACCGAAAACGGATGCTGGAACACAATTAACATTACTATAAATTACTGTACATTTGACTACCACTTACACGTCAAAGTTATATTCAGGTCGATCAAGCCGGAGTAGTTTATTAAATGATCGTGAGGCTACATGCAACTCATCTAGTATTTTGAAGAAAAACAAGTCAAGCAAGAATGATGCATCACTTATTGTATCAGAGTTAATGGATCTATTTTGTCCATGAATAGCAACCTTAATCAGATGGCTACACACCGACAAGAGTTTTGAAACCTGAAATTCGTTCAATACGGATTTGATAAACTGCTCCCTCAGAATAATAAGATGAACTTTATTTTGAAACTGAGTAAAGGCACGATTATAACAGGAGTTCAAGTGAATGATTTAAATGATATTTTATTTTATATAAAACACTTATTGTTAGTTATCAAAACACTTAAGAATATATTTTATAGTTTGTACCATTTAAATATATGAAAATGTCACACATTACCAAGCTCCGATGCACACACTATCCACCAGTGCTTATGGGACGTAACTTTTTTTAAATGACAGAACACTTTCCAATGCTCACATATAACTGAATCTGACATATGAATTATATTCATCCCGTTTATAGTTACTACAATTTAGTTAAAGCAAAAGGTTTTATCAGTGCGTTATTACATCTTATAGCAATCAATAAGCATCAGTTCCCTTGAGATAAGAGAACACCGTGCTGAAAAGTGCCGGTGGGTATGAAACCTTAGTTTAGGGTCTCCTGTCGATTACCTGCTTATCACCTTGCATCTCAACATAGTTTACACGATGTCAAGTCAATTAGCCTAGTGGTCATATTGAAACTTGATTGATAGGATACGGTCAGAACTAAAACGTCGAGACAAAAATGATACTGGTCATTACTCAGTAGTCAATCAATTGTCAGCCAGTCAGTCAGATGCAACGTAGAACTTCGTACGTAAGTACATCAGTTCATGTTGCTATACCACATTAGCACAGAGACGTAATTATCAATTCAAATCCAATAGTAGTAGAGGTGGTAAAGGTATTAGAAGTAATCGGAGAGGTTAGGATTAGATGTTATTCAAGAAGTATGATTCAGTGAGATAAGTTTAGAAAGACAAAACCAGAGGTGTTGAAGAATCCAGAAGATTGGGATTTAAGAGAACACAAAGAATAAATGCACAGGCGCCATTCCAACCGGTTTTGAGCCGATTAATTGTAAACATTATTCCCACAAACGGGGTTGGTTGCAGTTTCGATAGTTCAATGGTAACGTCTCTGATTGTGAAGTTGTGTGAGACAGAAGTGAATTCGTAAGAAAACAATAGTTCCCTGAATATTACAAGTACGCCTTACTAACGATTGCTAAACAGCACAAAACTGAAGTTCAGAGTTCGATTACTTCCAAACACCAGAACATAAAATCGTTATTGAAGCAAGTCATTAGATTGTTTACCCATAAAATATTGTTTAATGGAAATGGTATTAGTTAGATATGGAAAAAAAATCGACGTTATTTGCATAGGATAACAACGATTAGTAAAATGTCAACAAGTCACCTTGACAAAATAAATTGAACATGAGAAATTGTATTCTACATTTGATATCAGGTATAGGTCCGAGTAATAATTTGACAAAAATCTATGTGGTTTTAGGTTTGCAATTTTATTTTATCACAGTTTGACTGTTTGCTTTTTTGGCACAGTATCTATACATTAAATTGCATAAACTCGAAATTAAAAAAATATTTTTTCTAAGTGGCATTAAAATAAGACGGCTTTTCTGATACATATCAGGGTTTTTATTTTCTCTTCATTGATGTTAAGGACTGCCGACTGACAGTCTCTATTGGTAAATGTGCATCTTGAGTGTATTGTCTCAATATTACTATTTAGTCACAAGTTGCATATGCTAACGGAGAGATCATCGGATAATGCATTAGGATTGGAAGTGAAGGCTTTTGGAGTTCAAGTTTGAGCATGAACAAGATAAATGGGATGGAGGCACATCCGATTGACGAGTCTACCTGGTTGGGGTCCGCGATACAATAGTAACCGGTGGTTAGAGACTTTGAATCACATGACTCAAAATCGTTTGCATGGTGCAAATTCATCCAAACTCTAATCTTCTGAATTCCTCATGACCATTTTCCTCTCTTTAATTTCATTTCACTTGCATCTACTTCTCGAACCATATCCTCAATCCCTAATCTTTTCGACTACATTTAATACTGCTACCCCTTATGGGATGTGAATTGACGATTGCATCCCTGTGCTGATGTGGAATGGCAATTTGAGCTGATATACGTACATACGAAGTTGTACGTTGTAGCTGACTGGCTGACTGAGTTGACGAGTCATAAATAAGACAGAACGCGTATCCGGAATTCGAATATTAACTACTTTAATCGATAAATTTCATGATACATAACTCAACGGAATTAAGGATGTGTGAAATAAATTTATGGTTATTTAATATCTTTAGAATTTACATAATTTACAAGGCTGAACTCTATCGTGTTATCAGCAAAACATTTTGATAATGTTATAAACAACAATGGAAACCTTGCTTAAAGATGTGCGACGGTTCAAATTGCTGCATCATTTCAAAATAGATGAAAATATCAAGAAAGAAAGCAAATAATAGCAGCACTACTGAGTAAGAATAATTAAACATTAAAAATATGGCCTGAAAAGAAGGTTTGAATTCGTGGTATAAAAGCATGCAATGTCATCGAAATTCTGAATCTAGAGGTGGTAAAAAAGTAATATATCACTGTAAGTGACATGGTACATAAAATCTCCAACCATGTTTGTTTGATATGTAGGAAATGTGCCAGCCACACCCTAGTTGAAGATTTACGGTCTTAGTAACTGATTTTTCATTTTTACGTAGTAGCTTATTGATGACAGCTGCGTTACTTAAACTCTTAAATTAAATTGTATTCGCTAATTAAAACTAGAACAAATAGATACTTACTATTTTCCGTAACACCATACACAAGACGATGGGACCAAACAAGCTCTTGTGCTGAATAGTTTGAAGACTTGCAACTTGGCTGAGAGACATCGGAGGGTAAACATTGTTCATTTGAATAGACTGAATCACATAATTGTGCTAGTACAGGTATTGCTCCACAATAAAGCCATGCAGAAAACCATAATATAAGAGAATTAGACATAATATTATTATTTTTAGATTTAGAGCAATCAAAACATTTCGGATTGTTTTTATGAATAAAAGGCCAAACAGAACGCCATGAAGTAGGTCCAGGAAAGAAACGACCTGTAAGAAGTTTATCCACAACGGAAGCAGGACTATGATGTGTAAGCATAAGAACAAGATTATCAGCACAACCTCTACGCCAATCCATAGTTGAATTATAAATTGGTTGAATTAAATTAGGATGATAAATTGTCGGAGAATTACATGATGAAATTTGATTAGTTCTATCAATCGCAAAATAACAACAACTTGTCGATGGTCGCGGACAACAAGGCGAAGACAAATTATTCAAATCATATATTGAATGTGAAGCAAGAAAACTTGTACCCATATAACTGCAAGATAATATATAATTAACTAAACAGCCTCCATTGAATGGTTTACTTCCACGACAGTTTATTAACATTTGATAATTTCTTCCATAATTCTCACCAGGTACTGTTGATCGTCTTGGATCAACTAAAGTGTATGAAGTGAAAGAAGATGATCGTGTCACCACTGGTTCTTCTATACGTGATGATTCCCAACTTGTTGGATACATAACATGTGATTTAAAGAAAGAATGAACCGGATGGAATGGAGCATAACAACTATGATTCCAGAAATCATATAAACTAGCGCATAAATCTTCAACACCACAACGATCCAATAAACCTAAACAACGCTAGAAAATTATTTAAAAATATAATAAAATATATGTCTGTGAATGAAGCTGTACGGAATAAGTTTACAGTGGAAATAAAAAGAAGACTGATATTATCGGTACTTTCGGCCATTTTATTTGGTGTGTGTATGTGTGTGTTTGTATTATTAACATGAATTTATTCCTATAATCGTATTCAGTCCATTTAAGTAATATTAAAACTAATTCACTGTTAGACTAAAAATCATTAACATAAGAAACAAAATTTACTTATTTTATTATTTATCTTTCTAAACTCACTTTTATTTATTGATAATAAACTAATATTGAAATTGTGAATAAGAAAAATCATGATGCATAATACTTACCAAAATATTAACAACTGTACATGTAAGTGAATCGCCTGAAGTTAATTCACTTGTAGGAATAAGCATAAATGGCAGTGAAATAGAATTATGCAATGACAATGCGGTGAATTTATTATCTTCATGAGAACGATGACACTGGTTAACATTTTCTTCATTATTTCCAACGTAATTAACAAAACAATTATTGTTAGTATTATGATTGATGTTGTTACATGCAGACGGTATATGCATACACGATGACGCAGATGACGACGAAGATGATAGAAATGAATAACCAGGTAAATCCTTATCGGATTCGTTGTCTGATAATGACAATGAATGCTCAATGAGTTTAGATGATTGACAGTGAAATAACTAGTAAAAATATCCAATAAATAATAATGATAATAATAAACAAAGCAGATAGAAAATAAGCTAATTGAAAACACAGGCAAATTGTATATAACAGATACAACTTCACACAAATTATACACTTAATTATATCATTCATTCATCATTCCGTTGTTGATATTCAGGAGTGGATTTTGATCAATCTTTGTCAGCAAATATGGATTATTTAGAAATTGCTTTATGACGCCTTATAGAATAGATGGATTTGGTTAACGATAGAATCTAGGTTTCACGTTTCGTTCCTTTTGGGACCCGTCAACTGGAAGTACCTGTATTCAGATAAGAAGTAGAACCCGGTATCTTTCGCTTCAAACTCTAACGCATTATTCACTGAGCAATTGAGTCGAGATAACTAATAACTTATTCAATGAATATAAAGGAATTAGCAAGGATTAAAATGATCTCACTATTGATATTCAGGAACAAATTTTAGTCAGTGTTTAATGGTCTATGTGCATCCTGAGCGGAGTGTCTTTAGTTCTCAATTTCACCATTAATCATAATCCATCTATTGATATATATATATGGCTGAGATGAGTATTACTGCTAAAAAGGATATTTGCGAAAGACGATAATAAAGACAATAAGATATTACGCTTGGTAGTCAAAATTTGCATAGATGACGGTGACAAGAATAACAACAATAACGAAAATAGTTATGAGCCTATTATAATCATCTATCTATCTGTACATTTTATATTGTCAATTCGGTATTCTACACTTACTTTATCATTCTAGTCGGAAGTATTAATAAAACAATGCAAAACAAAATATTCATATTAAATCGAATAACAGACTGTCAAATACGTTCTAATTAATTCACGTCCGTGAACTTTTAGTGTTTTGTTAAACCATATGATTAGTGTTTCGATTTCAGCTGTCTACCATTCAGTCAAAATATTTATGGAACGTTGATAGTGCCACTCTAGTAAGACATGGATATATATATATATAGATCTAATCAAATCAGTAGGAATTCATGACCTATTTCCAAAACTCTGTAAGAATGACAGTCAGGAAATATTAGTTACGTTAACAACTACATAAGTTCGGATCTGAATATCCAAAAGCAGTCATAGTGCATTGGTTCCGGTCGTTGGTCATCACAAAAAAAAACGAAAAATGACAAAAAGCCCCCTGCAATAATCCTAGGGGAATGGAGTTTGCTTAATAATCTCTGAACTCTTAGAATACAGTCATTCGACATTTAATTAGAGTTTTGAAACAGGAATCCTATTAAATCCAGATTCGTATGCTCAAATCTTTACTCTCCACTATTTTTATAAAAGCCTTATATTGTATTCATCGATCAAGTGGTCTTATGGAGATCATTTACCACTTAAATGAGTCTGGTACATATTTAATTGTTGGAATATAGATGTAACTATATAGTGACTACAATTTTCAATCAACTACGAAACAACGAGTTAACCCAGAAACCGTCATGACTTTTGTTTATCTTTGGACAAACCTATTGATGATTAAGTGTCCTACGTTTTGCGTAAACTCTTTGATTACCTAATTTGATTTGGATGGTTAGATTTGATTTCATTTCTACCTCAGATAGTAGGTGAGAAACGAAATAGTAATCCAGTGGTTTTGAGCCGATGTAATAAGCTATATTTATATATTTATCCTAAACTTCCTGTCAGGACGATAATTTTCCCATTGAAATTATCTCTTTTTAAAGTTAATTCACATATTTTATAATCGATTGTGAAGAGCTGGATAATTTTCATACATTTACAATTATTATCATGAAATTAAGTGCGTGAAATATCCTGAAATAAATGCAATTAAAAATGTGAACTATCAAATATTAACTCATTTGTTTAAAGAAAACATATTTGCCATGGGTTCGAAACGTCCTACAGTTTAGCCCTTGAGGGAAGGAATCATGAGTGGACACTGGTTAGGAGGAATCCGACAAAGATTGGACAATTATCTAGTTCATTTTGATTTTCACCATTTGTCTAGCAAAAGTTAGTTCATGATATACACTACGAATCTTTCCCCATTAATTTGATAACAATAAACTAGAAAAATACTGACCGCGTAAAATCAATACACTAAAACAGCGATAAAATTTTATGATTGCATAAATAAACATGAACGTAATTTGTGAACATAGATTTTACTTACTCCATTATTGTTATTTTTATTATAACGATTTTGATTATATTCATGATTAGGAGCATTTGTGAGTGAGTCACTGTTATTATTAGTAGTAGTAGTAGTATTATTATTGTCATTATCATTATTACGATTGTTATTGTAGGCAACATTAGTTTTTGAAGTAGACGTTTCGTTGACAGATGGTAGTTTATGATAGCTGGCGTTGAAGAATCAAACATAACAACAAAAAATAAAACGATACAAAAATCAGGACAATATTATGACTGATAATAGTTAGCATTTACCAAAGGTATTTTTATCCTACATAGAAATTTGAAGTTTCATCGTACGATCTCTTAGTGTTAAAATAAGCTCTGACTGATCATGTAAGAGGTACGTCATAGAATTTCTTAATTTCTACTTATATGTTTAAATAATGTACTATTTATACTTCAAAGTAACCAACCATTTCAAATCTGTAGATTTTTCAATGTGTATATGAAAATAATTTATATTTATTAACACCTAACTATACGTAACCTAAATATCTTGGCTGATTGACTAGTTTAGAACTTAACACAGCCAGTATGTAATCGGAAACATGATGGGGGAAAATAAGAATAAAAACCTTTTTTACTTCAGAATTGTAACAATCTTTTAAATTAGTTGGAGTTAGAATGGCAGCTTCAATCAGTGACTCAATTCATAGTTAGTGGGTAGACTAAAGGTTATAAAAATTTATTTGAACTGTAACACAAACTGTTGTATTCCATTGTGGTATGGTAACTTGAACTGATGTAAGTACGTGCGAAGTTCTTGCTACGTTGTAGCTGATTGACTGATTGTGCAGACTCGTATTCTAACAACGGCTATCAATCCATACTTTGGATGATTACTTCGTACATCAGACTAAAATAAATTCGAGCTCTCATTCGATTCCCAATCGATTCACAATTCAATTCAACTGGTAAAAATATCGATGACCACTGAGTAGCACGTTATCAATTCAAGCTTTACGTAGGTTTGAGGCATTGTCCCCAGGAGTTTAGCTGGGGCGTGTTAACTTAAAAGCTTAATTTATGAAATGATAGGTAATAGATTTGACCTTCAAGTCACTAATTACGATACTGTGAGTACAGTCTAACAATTATCGTAAAGTTTTGTTCACCTAATTAAGGTTAAGAAAAACTTTGGTTGTGTCTGGAGAAATTCTATCAAATGAATAATCAAATATGTATAGATTCTACAGATGTTATTTTATTTTCAACATCCAACATCATTATTTGATGGGAAACGAATGAACTATAAATTGCTATTTTAAGTTATTGGTCATTAAACTAGGATTTTTTCTACTGTATATGTTGATTCATACTCATACATACATAGTCAGGAAATCATATTGAACAATCTATTCTGTTATTAAACAGATCAACACAAACCAATTATTAGACTAGACCACCATTAGGAACTTGGAAGCACTAATTTCAATAAAATTTAACAACCTTCACAATGCTATAATGACAAACTAAATAGTCATTTTCTTTATTGTAGTTTTAAGTTGCTAAAAAATGTATATAACGTATCAGAAACAACTAAGAAGGAAAGTCGTACGAAAGTTGAAAAGCCAGTGTTTTTTCTGTCTAGCCCAGCAAATTTACCAACATTTGTCTAGTGATAGTACAATTTACTATGGTAAAAATATTCAGTTTAAATCAGAAAAATTAACCATTCTACTATACGTGATAAACACTCTGTAAACTGTCACAAGGACTGAAATCTTTAAGAATCAATTTCATGCAGGAACCAGAATAAACGTTTCATTCCATTTTGTGGGAACTGAAAGACAACACCAAGAGAAAATAAATGCAACACTTTCTAAAAAATAAAGTGCATCAATTGCAAATGAGTGATCCATTCGCTCACATATACATGGACATAGTTTCATAGTTAAATGACATAATCTACAGTCACCTATTCAAGTGAACAATTACGGACGATAAGTTAACTGGGAAATATATCAAAACTTTGAACTCAGATGTAAAGAATATTGGAGAGTTTCTAGTGGTATTCAAGTCCATTCTAAAATTAGTAAACATACAGACACAATTTGGATCCAGTAACTAATGAGTATAGGGCTAGTTTATCACATGGAGTTGAAAGTCAGTCGAATAAAACGATTAATCGAAAGGTCCATAACACCATTGGAGACAACAACCTCAAAAGTGACTGTCGAATGATTATAAAATGCTCGTTTAATTCGGACTATGTACTAGCGATGTCCAGAAAGTCAGTGAAAGCCAGGAAATGAAATAATTTAGCATGCAAGACACAAAACCAATCAATAACATTCACATTTGCAACAAATAATTTTATCATTTACAAAAGAATGAAGTTAAACTTACAATTCTGGATTTAACGATGTTTGCTGAATAATCTCTGTCTCCGGCGATTGGGATATAACATTTGATTTTTGTACAGTGATACTATTGTTGGAAATAAATGAACTTGAAGGCAGTGATTTTTGATTAGGAGCTAAATTTGGTGAATATTGAATAGGTGATTCTGGAAGACCCATGTAATCAAAATCTGGATGATAGGATGTGGTAATTGAACAATTCGAAGTAGTAGGAATAGTTTTAATGTCTAAATCAATAAAATCATCAGCTAACGTATTTATATTCCTTTGGTCGTATAAATTACTAGATGAGATGAAGCGATTATTAATTACTTTTTTTGACGATAACGACAAACTTTTTGAAGAAGGCGATGACAGAAATAATCCATTGATTGGTGTTTTTGTTACTTCAGTTTTAGGAGAATTTGGTAACTTAGGTTTAAATGATGAACCATTCATATAATACGAACAAGATTGTGATGTTGAAGGTGATGTAGACGATTGGCCAGTAAGACAATTATGATTATACGAATAGATTTTTGTACCACTACTATTGTTACTATTACTACTACTATTACTGCTGTGACTTAAGTTACTTTCAATAACAGTAATAGCCCTGTTATCATCATTAATGGTATTGAAATTGTCGTTTGAAACAGGAGTAAAACTACTGTCGAATTCAACAATTAATGAACTTTGTATACTCGATAATTCATCATCGCATTGTGATGAAACGGGTAACAATTCCCAGTCATAGTCACTTCCTTCTGTAAATTATTTTTGAAAAACAACATTATATATATATATATATATATATATATATATATATATATATATATATATATATATAACCATTTTTAAACATTACAGATATTGCGTTTAAGAATTCAAAACTGGTGTTTACAAAATTATTAAGATAATTAGTATTTTATCTGCATGTGTTATTGACTTATATAAGCTCAAATTTAGACTCACTTATCTGGGGAGTCTCATCTGTACTGATGGCCTGGTGACTGACGAAATCTCAGCACGGATACAGAAAGCTTGACTGGCTTTTGCCAACCTGCGTCACCTATGGCGCAGGCGAGATATCCGTTCGCTAACCAAAGGACGAGGGTACTCCACAGCAGTTCGCTCCGTCCTACTGTACGGATGCGAAACATGGACGGTAAGGGTAGAGGACATTCGTAGGTTGCTTGTCTTCGATCATAGGTGTCACCGAAGCATTGCTCGTATATCCTGGGACAGCCGAGTAAGCAATGCTATAGTTAGAAAACGAGTACTAGGTAGGGATGGAAGATCAATTGATGAAGTAGTGAGACTCCATCAGTTGAGGTGGTTCGGACGTGTGTTACGAATGCACAACCATCGACTGCTTCGTCGAGCTATGTTTTGTGGTGTAGGAGTAGGTTGGAAGAAAGCCAGGGGCGGCCAGACCAAAACATGGCACGAATTCATTAAGTCACTGACAAGTAGACTGAATCATGTTGGTAGATGTAGACTACCTGGCTGGGGTCCGCGATACGAAAGTCGCCAGTGGTTAGAGACCATGAACGGCATGGCTGAAAGTCGTTTGCAATGGCGCAGGTGCATCCACTCTTTGTGTTCTCTCAAACTCTAACCTTCTGAATTCCTCATCATCTCTGTCTCTCACTTTCTAAAGTTATCTCACTGAATTACACTTCTCTAATCATATCTTCGCTCCCTAGTCTCCATTACTGCTAATACTTCTACTATCGCTACCACTATGTGATTTGAACTGACATTTGCGTCTCTGTGCTAATGCGGTATGGCAACCTGGAGTGATGTACGCACGTACGAAGTTCTACGATGTAACTGATTGTCTGAAACATTACAGATATTATTGCGATCAAGAAATAAAAACCGGTGGTTACAAAATTATTAATTTATTTAGTATTTTATCTGCATGTGTTATTGACTTATATAAGCTCAAATTTAGACTCACGTATTTGGCACCTTTATCCAGATGAATTCTGACCCCCGAATGGTCTGGTACGGCAGAGAGTGGGGACAGTTTACACTTCCTTTTGAAATGCTTTCACAAGGCTATGTGTACATAGACGCTGCTAGGGAAGTCTTACTGACCACCACTTCGTGGTGGAGGGTGTTGTTTGGGAAAAGTGAATACCCGGCGCTTTAGCCAAGTTGGTGGACACGGAGAATCCACCTAAGCCTATTGGAAAACCCTGATTTCAAACAAATGGTGGACATAAGCTCCAGAATCCTGAGAAAGCAAATGGCGTGTAAATCTATTGTTGGTTAGTGGCTACGATAGGACCGCATCACCTGGCGTTGCCCCACCGCCTTGTAAACTAGGCCTCTTGGTCAAAGGCTAAAAGCGTGGCTTCCCAAGAAAATAACCTACTTCGGTTCGGGCGTCCGAGTAGTATCATGACCACACAAACACTAAGTAATGATTACAGCTGAGAAAACTATTCGAGCTTTGGTTTTCGTTCTTGCAAATCATTACTTACGCATGTTACCCCTAGTGGAGCCTAGTTCTCTGACCAGCATTCTCCAACCTACTCTATCCTGGGCCTTTCCGTCTGGTTCTGTTCATTCTTCTCATGTCTATCTCTATTTTTCGGCTTCCGTCATGCTTTATAGATTGTCCAAAACCTGGAGACGGCGCTGATGGATTTGGGTAATGGTGATGTGGGTAAGTTACACAGAGGAAAACGTTTTGACACTTAGTATGGGGACAACATTATCTTACTGTGTAATGTTACTCAAGCCATGCAATTGGCATTTAATCCGTTGCCAAACAGTATCCAAACATATAGCATTTGTTATGCATCTTCTAAGTGCGAAGTAAATTTGTAAGACTGGTATGAGTCTATAACTGCACTCATTCTTGGTAGAAAATGGCTGGAAGTAGTCAAGGAGTTTGTCTCTGGATAGTTGTGAAAATAATGATGACCGCGTGAGTGATGAGATCATTTTAAGTGTAATGGAAACCACGGCGGCTTATGTCAATCTCGGCCATCTTTGGTGCTTCGGTAATATTAGTCTAGCTGTAAAGGGTTGGGTCTACAATGCGTCAGTGAGAGAAAGTTTGTTCTATGTTTGTGAAACCTGGCTTCTCAGAGTTGGAGATATTAGGAAGCTTTCTGTGTTCAGTCACCGTTATCTCCGAAGGATTGCTGACATTCAGTTGCAAAACCAAGTTAGTAATGCAGATGCTCGGCAATACGTGACCGGGCACAGGGATGATAATTAGATTGGTGTCACCATCTTGAAACCCTGACTTCAGTGACTCGGACATGTACTGCGATCGTCGTGCCGGCGAATTCCTCGTCATGCATTATTTAACAACGCTGGGACTAGTTGGAAGAAGCTGATAGGTGGTGAGTGTATAATATGGTGTCGATGTATGATAGAAAGTTTTGCAGGACTGGCTTATGTTGATCCTTCAAGACATTCTGGTTAGGGTCCTAGAGATAGTGAAATCGTGGCTTAAGATGTTATCAGACATGGCTCCGAATAGAAGCCAGTGGCGGTCCTGGTGTGAGGTTCTATTATTTTCTCCACTTAAGTAAAAGTAACTTATTTGACTGAAAAGATTCTGGTTGTATTTTCCTTGAATGATTTGTTTCTTCCATTATTATTAATATTACTTAACTCTCATACATTAATTTCTAACCAATTTTTTGTTATGATCACTGTTCTTTCTTTATCTCTTCACAACCTCTTTTGTTGTGTGGCGCACATATTTTGGTGCCTACTTGCACCAATATTTGTGTTTACAGTAAGTAAACGAATGCTGTTGTAAATTTAAGTACGATAAATGTACGTCATAATCCAGTGCAGAAATGTGTGGTCATGGGTAATTGTTAAATTTTCACAAGGATTTACCTTACAGCCAAAATTTATAGTCGATGAAAATGTTATTTTGTGTTATGGTATAAGTGAAAACATTTCCTCATCTGTTTAACATAAGGTTTACATTCACCAAACTGAAAATCATACTTGAGAACTGATTTAATCTCATATAATTCGATAACAGGATGAAGAAGTATAATGGACATGATTATATGAACCTTAGAGTATATGACTAATAAACAGATTTGGAAAAAACCCTTCAAGTTCAGCTCCTTACTTTAATAAAATAAAGTTGCAATGTGAAGACTAGTGTGAGTGTCTGGACATTATGTGAATCTAAGCCCCGGGTTTTCTGTCGATTACCTGCCTATCACCGTGCATCTCAACATGGTGTACACAATTTCGAGTCACTTAGGTCAGTGGTCATATCGAAACCTGGTTCATAGGATACGGTCACAACTAAAGACAACGAGACAACAGTGATACTGGTTACTGCTCAGCGGTCAATCAATTGTAAACATTATTCCTACTAATCCGGTTGGTTGCAGCCTCAGTAGTTCAGTGGAAACGTTTCTGATTGTGAAGCTGTGTGATATATAAGTGAATTCGTTAGAAAGCATTAAAACTTCGCTTTACTGACAATCGGTAAATAGCACGAAACCGAGGTTCAGGAGTTTTTTGTTGACTACCTCCAACCACTGGACAGGGTCCAAATAGGATAGCTTTAGTGACTATGACTCAGTTGCTTAGTACAACTTTATGTCTTCAGCCACGAACCGGGCTGATTATGTAGAGATCGGTGAGACTGACCTGTTGTCCAAACAGAAGTTAAGTAGGGTTTAATACAGTAGCCTAATGATTCGAAATAGGACAGTTTAATCATCCAGTCATTGTTCCGTCTGAAAATGATATTTACTCAGATGTGAAACCTGATAAGAATCTTTTGAGAATAACTACTACTTGCTTAGATTTACTATTTCGCACTTTATTTTAGTTAAACTTGTAACGAATGTTCGGTGACATTCCATTTTATTAAACGTACTTGTTCTTGAAGTTAATTTGAAATGTAGACTAACTTTGACTATCCAACCATTGTAAGTCTCAAAGCAGTGGGCAGTTCTTTTGTTTTAGTACGGAACTCTCCAGCTAAATGAGCCCACATTTTTAAATCCAGTTGATTCGAGTTCAGTGAGCGACCATTATTAACTAACAACACCAACAACCACCTGACTATCAACGTTTCTAAACTTTGGAAATGTTTTTTTAAAATAGTTACTGGTGAGTTTTAAAAGTAACCAAGCTAAGAAACGCGAACTAAAACAAATCAAACCGAGGGCCTGAGGTACTGTTTTTCAAATGAATTTCGAGCTCAGAGAACCAAACACCACCACCACAATCAAAAGAATTTCATTTATATGGATAATGCTTGTCCGTAAATATAATAAAACACCACATTTGTAATCAGAATATGTCAACCATTAAGTGAGAGGAGAAAAAGTAACCAACCTTTAGACCAAATAAGAAGTTCACTAGACGCAGAAGATTGAGAAGGCGAACGTAAACGACATTGTACGATATTTTCAGTTAAATTCCCATCACTATTAGGTTTATTAGAATTAATCAGAGCCATATGTTAAGGTTAATAGTTTTCAACCACCTGAAATACTAATACATGTGAAAAAAATATTAAGAACTTGGAATACATGACAAAAGTAAGAGAATACGATAATATATCCGACGATTATGAATTTCGGGATGGAAAGAAAACCCAAGTTAGAAGACGGGTAATTGGACTGGAGAATATTCTAAAGTCTATGAGTATGATTATCAGTCCCTTATGCTTATTCCAAACCCTCTCAGTATACCAGGCACGGTTTCCAGAAGAGTCGAAATACTTCCAGCTTTCCTACCCAAAACTGCCACATCGTTAGTGTCCCAAGCCGATGAGATCATCTGCGGTTATGTAAAACAACTCTAATTTCAGATGAATCATGAGATCAAGTAGCATACATGTAGCTAGGCCAATAACACTTAGTGCAGTCGCGTGAAATGTCAATTTCTCAGACTTCAGTAAACGAAGTTCTAGTATGTTGTTAAAAAAGAATATACTCTCGTTAGAATTCAGACCAAAAGAATATACTAATCCATAAGTCGCTGTTTGCTAAATTTAGCTGTCAAAACATGGCATAAGTTTGTGATTTGAATTTCTTTAGACAAACGTACCCTGCTATCAGAGAAATAAGGTGATACAGATACGTCACAGTGGAGTGAATGCATTTACTTATTATATCTTCTAACTGTTGAACACAGACTCTAGCCTGTGAACTAATCAGCCGAAAACAAGTCTGTCTATGCCTTCAAGTTACACGTTCTTTTAGGGTTTTCATCACGAAGTGACATTAGCTACAATGCCAAAATATAATTCGGCCATAAATAAGTCTGTCTGGGGTAACAAACAAAACCTGTTGAACAAAGTAACACCGAAACTACAATTTACGAACACAGGGTAGAAATATGGAGCCGATACGTTGACAGAATTAAATACAAAAAACGCATTTCTTAATCATACATTCTGAATGATTTGTGTAGTTCCTAATATTTAGTCTTGAGAAATTAATAACATGGTTTGTTGTATATCTAGATCTAAACCAAAGGGAATCTACTGAATAGAAAAGCACGTTTTTTATTCAAGTTTAACACTTGTTTCATAACTCTGACACTACTGCAGAGAATTTTCTAGTATCCGCGACGTGTGATCTATGTGATCGGAATATCAAACAATGAAAGCAGTAAACATATAGACACCAACAGACTAAAAATCAAGAGGGAAACGCAAAAGCATACCATGTGTAAGTTACAAGTGATTGCAGAGGTAGTGAAGGTTCTTTACAAGACAAGCGCACGCAATAGATTGGTTAGGAGACAAGTAACGAAGAGACCTGAATTCAGCGCACCATCCAATATCCAATATCTTTTCGACAGGTTAGAGTAAACCTACAGGTTTCTGTCATTTGCTTTTAAGCGTCTCGACATGGTTTCAGGTATCCGGTACTGCCCGATCCGCCTCAGTCTTGTCGCTGAACTGCGATAGTCATAGTCAATGGGTGGTTATATATGAATTTGTGTCTGTGTGTGAGTGCGTTCGTTTCAGTGCAGTAGGGTTTCTAGATACCAGCTGCTACCGCACAGCCAGGTCGAACATCAGTCGGTAGGAAAGTCGAGGATGATATAGAGAAAGTTCCAATGTTAGGGAGAAGACGGATGTTTCAGGAACAAGCCAACAAACAAATAAATTAACAGGTTGATAGATTGGTGATGAAGATAGTAAGACAGGGCCGAAGTGTAAGGATAAGAGAGCAAACGGACTTTATAATAAGCAGCACAGGACAAGTTGGTGATATAAACTGATGATAATGATAAAAATAAATTTCGAGACACTCATCAGGCATTGTATGTTCAAGTGGAAGATGAAAATTTGTATGTGATTACGTGTTCTGAAACATTGCCGAATACTTGCCGCAATTGCATGGAAATTCATTGGTGTATACTAGTGCTTGTGGGTTAATTTTTATTGCAAGTCATTAGAAAATATCAGGAAGAGGTCCTCTGTTCAACTGCTGATATTACGACCATACTTCTCGCATGCACTTTGCTTATCATTGTAAAAAAATATCCTGTTTTGAATGCGTTTTCTTGGCAAAGGTAGCTTGGTGAGAGATGATGATGAACACTATGCATATTCGACTTGCATCACATTCATGATTATGGTGGCAAAGCACTCATAGAACTAATGTTGAGCAGTTGAAAATATATGGTAATACAATGTGGTCGACTGATGCCTGCTCACGCGACTGGGTCACTGAGGCAAACTCTCCGATGAACTAATGTCAAGAGAAACCATAATTGGTAAGCGAACAATTCTCGTCCCTTGCAGCAAAGAGAAATTCATGTAAAATAGCCAGCCACACTTGTAAACTTGACTAAATGTAATTTAGGATGAGCAGCTGTTGGAAACGGCTTCTGAAAGTCGTCCGCCTGTGTGGTTAAGGACAGGTTATCTAACGTTTATATTCTTATCGTACGCTTTCGGATAGTAGTACTATCCTCTACATAGACTGTTGTTGGCATTCGGCAAATAAGTTGTCAAAACTAGCTGTCTTGTTCAGTTATTTCTTTGACATCCAGAAGTCTCGACGAACCTTCAGATTGTGAATGGAATTTGAGTGGTTAGTTACTAATATTTTCGACGTGAGTCTTTACAACACATACAAATCCAAAAGATCGCTCTCTATATTCGTTAATTTCTATCTGCACCTTGTACTTTATTCGAGTGGCAAATGTAATTATGTTTTCCAGGTTTCGATCGCTAGTTACCCAAGTTCATAAGACGGCGGAAGTCTTAGGGTAATAGAAAAGAACCATCTTGATTAATTTAGTTTCAAATCCTCCGGACGCAAATTCATTAAATGTGTAAAATAAGTTCATCAATAGCGAATCATGAACAACCAAGCAGTCTTCAAAGCAAATTCGAGATGAATTCACTACATTTTCATTCATCATCAGGTTTTGAAGCATTGGGATATTCGCTGATCCTCAATTATTTTCAAGGCTATTTACAATTAATTGGTCACAAAGTAGTGATCAGTTTCATGTGTATCAAGTCCTTAGAGCTGATCTAATCTTACCAATGAAGTTGCGATTTGGTCAGTAGTCTAAGTGACTCGACCTTTAATTGTTTGACATATTACAGTGGTCGTTACTCAGAGATCAATCAATTGTAAACATATCTCATTCCTACAGGAGATCACTGGTGGTCCTAATAGCTCAGTAGTAACGTTCCTGACCCAAATCGACACGTGGTCGGATCTACCTAAGACCATTAATCCCCTCAAAATAACAGGCGCGCTTTGCCAACGAATGCTTAGTAGCGCGAAGCCTTCAATCAAGGTTTCTTGTTGACTGGGTCCAATCGCTATTAATATCGAGACGATTTCCCGTAGCCTTGGCTCTACATCTTTACCACGGTTATTATCGTTGTTTTACAACATGTGTTGTTAAGCTCCGTTTACTTAACTTTTGTAATTATTACTCTTAGATTTTGTTAGAGATTTTTCCGGAACTATTTTATGATCTTATTGGATTGTTTGTGTTTTAACATCTTTTAGTTCACTCCCTAGAATAGCTTACTGTTCAAAGCCTGTTTGGTTAAGGACGGATTATCTAACGTATATATTCTTATCGTACGCTTTCGGATAGTAGTACTAGCCTCTACATAGACTGTTGTTGGCGTTCGGAAAATAAGTCTCAACGAACCTTCAGATTGTGAATGGAATTTGAGTGGTTAATTACTAATGTTTTCGACTTGAGTCTTTACGACACATCATACAAGTCCAGCATTACATATTTGACAAATAGAAACGTATGAATTTCGTCAAATTGTCTGTTGATGATTAAAGAAAAAGCCACTCAGAAACAAAATGTATTTGGATCCTAAATTTGTCTGTAACCTTACTGGAGCGTTTCGTCATCAATGAGCCAAGGTGATCCAAATGGTAGCAAATATTTCCAAAAGAGGTCTAACCAAATCATCCTTCTATACAATGGACTAAAATTTTTTATCCATGAATAGTGGTATATGCAGGGAATAGTATATCTAGTGTTGTACATTCTACTATTTCGAGCTGAACTTATTACTTACAAACAATTCTGGAAGCAGTTTGTCGTATTGACTACAGAACATTAGTGGCATGAGAACTCAGCTACTCTCTGGATTGAAGCTGGTCTCCAAATAAATCTGAGAGATATTGTAAAATTAGACTATTTGCCTTTCTTTCAACAGAATAACATGAAGCATGTTACCTTGCCAGTTTCGGCATCAGAAATTTTAAACGCTTAAAGTAACGAATCGATTATTAAGCAACGGGAAATGTGTGCCATCAGGCGGTGGCCGTTTACCGTCTCCAAGGGTCACATGAAGCAACTTTATTTTCTTCGTGATGCATAGTGTGCTGTGGTTGAGTATTCAATGTTTTGGAGAAAGATAGGTTGTATTGTAGTCTCCACGGTTAGAAGTGCTGTGGCTTTTTCACACAAGTCATCCTGGAGTAGAAACTAGTACATTTTTTCCCCGCTGTTTTGCTTATTACCTTGTAGTGGAAAGTTTCTACGAATAAAATACGATTTGTGAAAAATAAACATTATTGTACTCGTTTTGTTTAACTGTACTGGAAACACTTTTTCAACTTCTCGCGCGCAATGTTCTCTACGCGTTGTTGCAATTTTTCTAAATGCCCTGTTCCCGATGTAATGCCTACTGTCTCCTTCAATAAAATCTTGGTACATGGATTTATTTTGATATACGTGACGGGACCGTATGGAACATTTAGTGGTGATCACAGTCAATCTTGTATCTTGACTAGCTCACTAAAAACAATTCTTTGGCCAGCACCTCAGAATTGGTAGGCAAATGCACATAGTGCCAACAGGAGATGAAATTCAACGCTAGAGTACCACCGATCACTACGCCCTTGTCCACTAGTCCTTGGTGTGAGATATATGTTCACTTCACAGTGCCAATCAACCGAATTACCTATATAGTCGTAGTTGGTGTATTCACGAAATGGCGGAAGACCATTTGCATTATACCACCAACGACGATGGAATCTCATCAGCTCTTAGCGAACACATATTCCTTGAACCTATTACTCGATGTGACTGTATCAGACAATCGTTCATAGTTCACTTCTAGTTTACTTTTAGAAAGAAATAGTACTGGAATAAATCACTAATCTGACCAATAAAGTTAAGCATGACCAGTATTTTTGTCCATCAACTTAGAATAAATCACGATAATACATCAGTTCAATTTCCTGGGGATTATATTGTGTTATATCCAATCATTTGATTTTCCCTGTAAGTTGACTTGCCTCTTGTAACCTATACGGTTATTAAAAATAAATTATTATCAATATTATCAATAGTATTATACATTCTTCCTACATATTCTGGACTTCTTCCCCTAGTAATCTGGATTCTTGTGAAGACTGGTAACTTAGCTTATCCGGTTACTGTGTCGGTGATTATATGCTGCGTTTGCTGATACTATGTTGTATCTTAATACCAAAAGCATAACAGTTTCGGAGGATTTTTTATGGAAGGGGGGTTAATCGTTTCATCTTTATAGGCATACCCTGTTTCTTTTCCGTATGAAAGCAATCTTAGATCTCACCTAAGTTTGAACCTCGTTTAACATACTTCTATATAGCTACAGGTGTTCTGGACAAAATTAACAAGCTATTTTTCCTGTGGCGAATGCATTTAAAATCGAATGGAGACAATATATTGGTCAAATGAAGACAGAAGCCTCTCAGCACCTGCAAATTCAAAGTAAATATTATTTATTTCATTAAAAGATTCGTTAGGTGTTGTTGCTACATCTTCTGGTAAGTAGTTGCAAAAATTGTTGATTCAAACCATTGTGAGGCTTCCTTATCACACTATCCCAAATGTGTGATCTGTTAAATGTAATTCAGCATGAGCGGAATTAATAATCTAATAGGATGCATAGGGTTGTGGACAGTAAGATTTATCATCATTTTGCCCAAATCCATAACCCTTAAATCTAACGCAGGAAGAAATATCCACCATGCGGTTTCATGAGATTTTATGGCAGCCGTAGGCAGTTCAGAAATGGGTGATCATGTATGTAACATCAAAACATGGGTTGAAGACAGAAAACTTCGATACTTCGAATGTTTGTTAAAAAGTGATCAGCCCATATTTGGCTATGTTTATGTACACTCACACCAACAAATATTTGTTGACAGGTTTAACGAGGTCACAAATAAAATCCTCTGGATGGACGAGGTCACTTTCTACCTTCAATATATGAGAGCAGACTGTCAGACCATAAGAGGCTTAGAGTGGTTGACCACTGGGGGATTATGAGGTATGCCACTGGAAATACTTCCTTACACAACGTTCCTAAAGCAAAATACACTCTTGAAAAGAATACATTATGGCATAGGCGAGTCAAAAAAGCCTAATAAATGCCATCAAGAGAGCCTAACAGAGGTGAAAAGTTCCTCTTATGGATTCTGATAGTAACTTTTACTCAAAATCGGGGAAATAGATACAGCATCAAAGTCAGAAACCATAGGAGATATGAGTAGCAGCTAAGAAACTATGTAACTGTAATTATCGACTTAGGTTCCTAACCAAATTAAAACCTACCAATCAGAGTGTTTGTGTCCTGATAAACCCAAGGATCGAAGAATTTACTAATTTGGTGACGGTTGAAGTGCCGACCTTAACGCAGTTTTCCTAAATCAATTAAACCAGGTACCTGCAAGTTAGGGGCCCTACTCAACTGTAATGTTAGTTCATGGCTTCTGGAATAGCCAGTTTACTTTTTGGTAATTCACAAAACACCATAATCCCTGCACCCGTGAGAGTCATTAAGATATTATCTTGAAAAAGTGTGGTGAAGCTATCAGTTTACCTGTATGTGATTTGTCCAGGTACTCACTATAGCCACACCAACTTTCATGAGAGTGAAGGAAAGCTTCCCTCTCACAAGTCCTTAAACTGTGAGATAAGATAGCTTTTGCGGGGTACAGTTTAATCTCCACCTTTACTGAATGAATTTTTTTTTACATTGCAATTTGATCACTACTGAGTAGGTCGCGTCACATACCTCTTGCAATAGCTTGCAAGCTTTGATCACACACTTGTCGATGTGTTATTTATATTACAATTATGTCTTCAAATTCCTTTATTTCTGATTTCTGGTCAGATTTGTTTTGAGATCCTTGGTTATACTTGTGTTAAGGGGACCAATATTGTCAAAGCTTGTATATAGTTGGGATCTTATTGAAGATAATAATTTTTCGCTTAATATCATCTTTATCTCATAATTAAATTTCATCACAGTTCGATTTAACATTTAATTATATTACTTATGTATAACGTCTCTTGAATCAGTTGTCTTCCCATGAATTAGAATTTTTCCTTATTATTCTTCACACTGCAACTAACTGATTTTCGGTCCGGTGATGTTATAGCTGCTGATATCCAGAAACCCTTTTAGTGAGCTAGTCAAGATACAAGATTGACTGTGATCACCACTAAATGTTCCATACGGTCCCGTCACGTATATCGAAATAAATCCATGTACCAAGATTTTATTGAAGGAGACATTAGGCATTACATCGGGAACAGGGCATTTAGAAAAGTGGCAGCAACGCGTAGAGAACATTGCGCGCGAGAAGTTGAAAAAGTGTTTCTAGTACGGTTAAACAAAATGAGAACATAATGTTTATTTTTCACAAATCGTATTTTATTTGTAGAAGCGTTTAACTACACCCCACGTCCCCGAAACGAACGTTTTCATTGAAATCACGAGGCGCTGAAATTCACAACTAACTGCCAACTGATTAGAATTTGACAATCGAGTGGGTGTACCTCAATACCTCAGACACTGCCAAACACCTGAAACCGTATTGAAAGAACAAGAATCGAAGCGAAAAAAACTGTACTCCTCGCGTAAAAGATTTTGGATATTGGAATTTGTTGGGTGTTGTACAATGCGGTGCAAATTATGAATTTGCTGTCTACCGTCAACTAGTTTGGATGTGTGGTTTGTCATCCAATTGTTATTCGGAACGTCTTGAAGGTCGCTGAATATATCACCACACCCGAATTTTATTTCAAAAGGTCTGCTATTGTTTTTGCAAATAATTAACAATTCCACAACCCCTAGACTGGGGGAATTTTTCTTAAAATTAATTCTGGGGAGATCCTGGAGGGCTCTGCTAAAAGATTTTGGGAAAATGCAACAAAAGGCCAAATAATTCCTAGTGGCTCTAGGAACACTCCAAATTTTACTTCAAATTCCTCAGTTTTCGTAGAGTCTGCTGTTTAAAATAGGACACTGTATTTAGTGGGATTTAGTCCCCATGCTGTTGTTTCTGCTAGAGCTTGGAATATGTTGAGTGCGAATACATCGGGGATCGAGTCTAGAAACTGAATAACTTCAAATGAGTGTAGCAGACATGTGCAAAACATCTAAAGACCTATTTGCCTGAAGTAGATACGTAGTGACGTAGATGTTGCGATAACTCTGTCGCACTTTTTTCACGTACCGGGTAAAAACGTTGTACATCGTTGTGCAAGACGCAGTCTATTTTTTGTCGATATTAGCTTTTGACATGATCCTCTTCAACATCCTACTTAGTATTGTTTTTCCAACCCAAAAATACACTCAAGAAACTAATATCGTAATGAGGTATGGACGTATGTGAAACTATGTCTCCATTTTCAGTACCTGCCATATTCTGATTATCCGCCAGTATGCACTAAATCATAAGTTTTATTGGTCGTGTTGCTTGCTTCTGTCTTTACAGTCAATTATCTGACCGAGCTAAAGCCCAGCGCAGATAATAACTACTGTCATCGTAAAGACTAGTTCCCGTCATACTTATCAAATTTTGTAAGAGTTAAAAAATTGACATGATAAACAGGCAAAACTAGGTTTCTTTTTATCCTGAGGCTTGTAACAATGAGCCCGAGGTGATCACCTCAAGACGACATTTCATTCGTTATAGTCATTGACTTTTAGTTGTATCTCTTTGGGAAAGTGTTTATATTTTGAATAGAATTTCTGAGATAATGATGATTCATTATTAAAGACTTATGGTACTTTTAAAAGCATTTACAATGCTACAGATCGATCCCTTATTTGTCCAGACGTATCACTACATGTTTAACGTTTCTCAAATGCTTTTTTCTTGATTTTTTAAATTTCGCTTCTGTGCGCTTATGTCCATTGATATTTCACGTTTATACTTTCCCCTCTTTGTCTCGTGGAAATAACCTATATACTTAAGCAATCAGCTTCATATCACTTACAACTTTGAGACCAAAAACCTGATGTCCATTATCCTTAAAAAGTTTAATGATCCACATATGAAACGTGGGCTCGTTGAGCTAAAGGTGTTCAAACGTTTTCCGTTTTTGTTTGTTCTGCATGATCATTTTTGTTTCATGATGACGTGGTTATACTAACGTTTGGTGCTGAATATTTAAGGCTATTGTTTATCATTATTAGACCAACAATGTTATCCTGAAGAACCCTAAGTTACAGCTTAGCGAAATTCTACGTACACGGCTGCAAAATGTTTCATATGGAGTGTTTTATTACATTTAAAACGGTGTCGTAGACTAAGTAGTAACCGATGGGTTTCTACTTGCCAGCCTGTTATAACTTATTAGATAAATTTCTAGAGATCAGAGAATCGGTGTGAGCAGCATTCTTGTAGCACCTTTCATTTTTTATCCGTTATCAAGTATCCTTTTTTAAGTAATAACGATCAACCTTTAATATTGCTTTTCCTGTTATCATTATTTAATTTTATCTCCATTGTTGTTAATATGCCTTGTTAGATGGGGTTCTTGGTTCCTTGTTGTTCGAAGAGTTATATGTTACTAATAAATAAAGCCGTAGTATATGTATATGTACATGTACGTAGGTAACTAATATTATCCACGTTGAAATTCTGTTTAGTCATCTAGTTTTTGGATCTTATTCACTTCAAGAATATCCTGTCAGCAGCATTTACTTTCATTTGTATAAAATTATTATGGTAATAATAATTAAATAATGTGACCTACTTACTCAGTACTCAGTACCCGACCGTAGCCGCTACCTTGACGTGGTGGTCGGGCTTGCCTATCGTGATGACCCAACCGAGCTATACTGGCTGGAACATATGTTCCTGAAGGTTCTACCATGCCAGGCAGGTCGATTGGAGAACGATGAGACTAAAAGCAGCTACCCAAGATCTGAGGGCGAAGTCATACTGCGGACCGTATAGTGGTTGGACAGCAGTAAGGTGTTTCCCTTCGATAACCAGCATCTGTAGCGATACTGCATTCTCACAAGGAAGGAGGGGTTAGGAAAGGTCGACCCCAAAAATGTCACACCTCACCCTACCTCACGGATTTCCGTCTCCTTGGGTAAGGGCGCCCACTAAGGTCTTTCAAGAGTGGAGCTAATACTCAAAAAACATTTCATAAAAAGGCCGTGCGTGACCGGCCTCAAGCAGTTGTCCCTTGGACTCTGCGGTCACGCACCCAGGTCTTCAAGACCAACACTAATCTATCTTCCTTTTCAGGTCCCTCAAGAAACAACCTTCCACGGTGTGAGCAGCCGTGAAGTGACAACCGCCCTCATACCCGTAACAGCACACGAGACCAAATTGGTCGAAATCAAATCGTTCCTACACCCCCTAATATCTCTCTTATCTCTACGACTAACTCTACTCACACTCCCTTTTCTCACTGCACCGCTAATGCAGACGAAGCAAGTTCACGAAACGTCGTTCCTGGTCTCTTGAAACCCCGTTCTAGACTACATGTTGGAGCATTTAATGTACGGACATTGTGTCGAATACGGCAACAGGCATCATTAGCTAGGACTTTAGAATCTCGCTCAATCGATGTATGCTGTGTCTCGGAAACGCGCATACAGGATCCTAGTAAAGTCATTAACCTGATTTCACCTCGTCAAAATGAAGAAGCAGCCCGATCCACTCTTCGTGTATCTGGTAGCCCTGATGCTGCTTCCAGGGGTCTTGCTGGCGTAGGCATAGCGTTGAGTCCTAGGGCAGAACTATCTCTCCTAGACTGGATCCCAGTAGATAGTCGCTTGTGCGCTGTCCGACTAAACGGGACAGTAAGGACTCGGAAAGATAGGGACACTCGCCGTTGCCTCTTCGTCATATCTGCCTATGCCCTCATTGACTACTGCAGTTCAGACGATGTGAAAGATGAGTTTTACAGAAAGCTTTCGGATCTCCTCCATAAAGCTAGGCTCTCTGATATAGTATTAATGGCTAGTGACTTTAATGCTCAGGTAGGTAGACTGAGTGAAAATGAAAGACACTTAGGTGGATGTTTATAGTCTCGCGGCTCAAAGAACGGACAATGGCGACCGTCTGTTGCAACTATGCTCAGATAACCGCCTATTCTTAGCGAACACTAACTTTAGGCATAAGGAAAAGCATCTCTTGACCTGGCGACCCCCGAAGTCGTCTCAACGTTGGACTCAACTAGATCACATCGCCATCAGCCACTGATGAAGGGGTTCGAAAAAAGACTGTCGCTCGTTGTGGGGCACATGTTTAGATTCAGATCATGCTCTAGTGCGAGCTCGCATCTGTTTGAGGCTTACTGGACGTAGGAGAGACACGGTAAGAAAGCCTCTTAGGGTTTTACTTAATGTTAATCAAACTAAGAAAATATTTCAGGAGCAACTAGAAAGAGAGTTAAGCAACCATGTAAGTGATTCCCATCCAGAAGCAGGTTGGTATGATATCAAGAAGGCTGTAAAAACAGCAGTGATATCTGCTAGTAAGGTAAACCATAAGGCTAGGACGAAGCCGTGGATCTCAATAGCACCTACCGAACTAATGGATGCTCGAAAACTCATCCCGCCTGGCTCTGAGGAGCGGAGTCAGCTTAGACGTAGGCTGACAAAAAGCCTACACAATGATCGAGAACAGTGGTGGTTGGAGAAAGCGAGGGAGATGGAAAAGGCAGCGGCGATAGGGAACACTAGACAACTTTTCCGACATATCAAGGAAACTGGTGTTAGGAATCCTAGTGTAAGTGAGACTATCTCGGAAAATGATGGGACTATCATTTATTCTCAATCAACGAGACTGGACCGATGGGCAGAACACTTTAGGGATCAGTTCAAGTGGCCTCGAGCCACTCTTCGGTTACCCGCGATCTCCAATCATTCTGAATGGCAAATCGACTTAAGTCCCCCAAGTCTTAATGAATTTGAAAAATGGTTAGAGACCTTGAATGACATGGCTCAAAATCGTTTGCAATGGCGCAGGTGCATCCACTCTTTGAGCTCTCTCAAAATCCTAATCTCGGATTAGCCAGCACCTCTACCTTGTCTTTCTAACCTTATCTCATTGAATTATATTTTTGAATAATATCTTAAACCCTAGTCTTCTTTATTATAACATTAATACCTCTACTATCTTTATCACTATGGGATTTGATTTGACATTTGCGTCTCTGTGCTAATAATGTGGTATGGCAACATGAACTTATGTACATACGTACGAAGTTCTACGTTGCAACTGACTGACTTCTAAACTTATCTCATTGAATCATACTTCGCGAATAAGATCTTCTAATTCTAACCTCTCCGATTACTTCTAATTCCCTTACTACCTCTTCTACTATTGGATTTGAATTGACAATTACATCTCTGTGCTGATGTCGTATGGCGACATGAACTGATGTACTTACGTACGAAGGTCTACGTTGCATCTGACTGACTGGATGTGTTCAAATCTGAACAGCGTTTGCATAAATAGTGGTAGCAATACCAGGCTTTGCAAATTGATATGGATGAAAACTTATTAGTTGGAAATTAAGTGTTCAAGCCGAAAAGCCGTCAAACAATAATATAATTTAATATCAAACGAAATTTTTAATGTATCAAAGTATATCTTAATAAATGCTTGCTTCCATATATACCGATTTGCAACTAAGATTTATACTGCTTTATCTGATTATTAGCATGTTTAAACCTTGTTAATTTTCCATTCATTCACATAGATAGATCTCAATTAAACATACTAAATGTTGCATGAATTATTACTTGCTTTACATGGAATTTCTGGCGGTATATTCGTTCAGTCGGATAAGAAAACCGAAGAAGATGAGGATTTAGGTCTAGACCAACATTTAATACCCATATCAAATAATCTTCCTTTTGTACCACAAGGTGAACTTGTTCTTTATGCAGAATTATTAAAACTTGGAACTTGCTATAAATATTTGCAAGAATTTATTGAACGCTTTTCCAAATCATATCATGGTTTATATTTATCTGCATTTGCATTCGGAATTGATGATTCACTTAAAGAATACAGAACAGATCTATGTACACTAGAAACAGAACTTCTGATGGATGCTGATCTTGGTGTTTCACACTTTTCTTACCGTCTTCATCCCTATAAGATTTTACTACCTGTACTTGTGAAGATCACTAAAAAGGTGGAAAATGTAGTTACAAACCCTCAAACTACCGGTGTTAAGTCTAGCTGTCGGCTTTTAGATACAGTATTATCAGCTGCACCTCCTGGTCTGCCAGGTCCACGATTCACGATCCAAAAGCTAGTTTCTCACATTATGCGGGTATTTTTACGACAATTATCTTCATGGGTTTTGTATGGTGTTCTTCATGATCCTTATTCTGAATTTTTCATCAAGTCAGCAAATCTTACTTCTGTCTCTACCCGCGCGGATCCATCCGATCTACAGGGTCATTTTAATGATCTTTCAATGAAGAGTGACTTTGTGAAAACAAAAACTACATTTTTTATAGATAATGGCAATCTACCATCATTTCTACCAACTTCGTTTGCTCAAAGAGTGCTTGCAACTGGTGAGGCTGTGTATTCTGCCACCTATGATCCATTAGAAGCTTCTTTTTTACTGAAATTAGAAGAAACTTATTGTCCTCGTTTTAAGGAACTGTCAACTTATTCAGAAGAAAATTCAGATGAAATCCATTCAACTAGAAAAACCTTCAGTAGCCTGATCGATGTTAATGAAATCCATAGTTTAGTATGTGATATACAGAGTGTTGTCTCATATCATGTTTGGTGCAGTTTAATGAAAGAACACAAATTACTTCAATACCTTCGCTTAGTTAAAGATGTACTACTTTTAGGAAGAGGCGAATTATTTTTGGCATTCCTTGATCATATAAATATTTTAAATAATCTCAGCAACAGTAGTGATTCACGCTCTGGGACGAATTGTGGAATTGGACATAACATTTTAGACCGACATCCCCCAACAAATGAAAGTGATATTCAAGCTCTTGAATATGATGTTACTGAAGCGTTTCTAGGAGCAGCTCGTTCTTTAGGCATGGATGATGAAGAATTAGATTCCAAGTTTAAGTATGTCACAGTGATATCAAATTTTTCAAGTGTATGTAGACATTTTTGATGATATTATGTTCTATGTTGAACTACTCTTATTGTTGCCAAATGAGTGGGACGTTTAGCTGTCTTTGTTAGGATCTTGATCCTAGTCACTCATTTCCTTATCCCTGAGCAACTGTATTGTCCTTCATTGGCTATTGATTGGTAAAAGTTGCATATACATTCAAAAATTTCATGAAACGTTGACGGTTATATACTTTTTGTTGTACAGTGGAGATAGTTAGATGCATTTCATGGACCAAATTTCTAGTTCCAATCAATCTATCCAAGCATATTGTTGGGGCATGAACGCTGAAAATAGGATCGAAGATATCTTCGAATGACAATTCACATATGATCGACTTAATAGGTGATCACTATAAACTAAACACAGATCTTTTAAAGTTACGTAAGTTTCTAAAGTAGTACCGCTGTATAAATTAGAGTTCATTCATTCCTAAAAGCATCGGCCTTTTAAGGATAATGAACTTTGAAATTATCAGAACAACAAATCATAGTTCACCCATGAGATCACGGGTTCTAACCATGAGGCATATTAAAAACTTTTGGTTTCTTTAAAAGCATAAGATATTTAGAATCAGTAAAATGAAACTGTAGATAATCTTTTGTTGTTATTGCTTTTCGTTTTTGAAGCTCTAAGCTTAAATCTACCCATCTTAGAGTAAACTTTTACTTCCATTTAACGATTTAATCTAAGGGGTAGGTGTTACAGTCGTGTATGCTAAGAATTCTGCATTATTATAACTATTACTGATATCACTATTCTTCTCTGGTTTGCCATATACTACCAAATAGCGAATTCATTTATCAGAAATTTTTATGAAAATCGTATCCTATACGTATTATTCCCTCGATTCACTCTTCTCATTTTCTATGGTTCATTATGTTGCTTTGATCTTTTGTCTCTGCGTTATTCGAAAGTGCAGAAATTTAGAAATGTGGACATCTGCAATAACGTTGGGAAGAATAACCAGTAATGACTTTTTAAGGATGAGTACGTTAACTTCAGAAACGCATTGCCTTTTCCGGTTAGGTGATATCATTATATAAAAGTGGTAGTATAATAGTCGTACTGTAAAAAACAACATTGAAGAAAAGTGACTATGTAGTCAAAAGTCACATAATATTAGATACCAAGCAATTTATTAGAAATTTTTTGCATATAATGACAAGTATATTTTACGTGAAACATGGTTACAGTTCATAGTGAATAAATCGTACAGTTTCATTTATGTTGTTTTTAGCTGTCCTCAGGTTTTTATAAGTTTGAAACACACTATAGATACTGCAGACCTGTTTAAACAAAAAAGGTTATTAGCATTTTAACATTGTAGTTCTTTTCTTAGTAGAAGATAGGTGGGTTTTTGTTATTTAACTAGTCTCTAGCCCATTTGATGCATACTCTTTCTTTTTTCTTTTAAGCGTATGCACGATAAAAATAGAGTATGCATTGTGAGCAATGGGTTTTACGCTGATTTGGACTTGTAATTTTTAATAATATTGCATTAGTAATTTTGCGGAGACTTCGAACATCACATGATAATTAGTATGTCTTCATACTAATTGCTATTTGCCCGTGTCTTAGATAAATAACAGCTAACTGATCCTGAGTTATTTTATCTCAAGTGTCAGTATATCTACTAAGACAATTATAAAACATGGGTCAACAACAACCAATCGAAATCAAGGCTGACGAGATAAGCTGTTAGTGATACATTTGTAAAATTAGACTAGTCACTTTTATGTGAAGTTTGTTCTCACGATATGGCCTAGAAATAAGGTGAAAGCTTTATAATTGAACCAACACAGTAAATTTGACCTTACCAAAATCAGTCATATTGTAATTATATGAGGCCTAGAGATAACGATCTGTCCACTGAGACTAATGTAAATAGAACGGCATTTGAAACTCTGACCTACCAGTTCAAAACCAAGTGCTTCGGCCGTTAATCCATGTTCCCCACTGACTGACACCTAAAGATGATATGATTTATAAGATTAGGACCATTGAAAAACATGCATTCACTGTTTTACCTTGTACCTGAGGTAGAAATTCGTCTTCATTTTTAGTTGAATGAAAAATATTGATATTAATTTTAGGTCGTTTTGTAACAAGTTCATTACTTAGTTGAATGATACTTTTAAAACAGTGTTTAAAAACGATCATAATCATCTAAAGAGTGAATCAACGATTGGAAGCGCAAAAATCGCACATGTTTGACCTTTCCATCTACAGAGAAGGTATCATGAGATTCGTTTCCCTAGTTCTATCAAAATCCATTTTGGTTTAATTACCGAATAATTCATATCATAACATAACTTTTATTGAAATTAATTTCGAGTTGTATGTTAAACCAGTTCTAGGATTTTTCCATAAAATTCCAGGGTGTGCAAATTATTTCTCTTTGGATTTTTTAAAATCATATTGAATTTAAATTATTAAATCAATAATAGGAAAATCATCGATATTATTTTTCGTCTCATATTCTGTTCTTGTAAATCTTTCATTTCTCTATTTAGATTTTTAATAAAATTAACAGAAACTCAATCAAATGAATTGTTTGAAAATCGAACAGTTTGGGATTGTTTACATTTATGCATTATTGTTCCACCGGTATTTGAATGTTTGTTCTCTCCTAATATTTGTCGTGCTTATGACAAATTATTTCAATTTCTATTCGCTATCCGTCGAACACAATTACAGTTACAACAGTTTTGGGCTGATCAAATTCTTTTATGGCGTCGTACTATTGCTCGTGATCGATTCACTGTAAATTATGCTGAAATACCACCATCAAATAATGATTTTACTAAATTGCAATCTTGTATAAGTCGACGCCTTCTAGTTCGCAGTCATATGGCATTTATAATTGAGAGTCTACAGTATTATTTACAGGTTAGTTTGTGATCATATTTGTAAAAAAAAGAATTTATATTCTTAGTTTAAAATATACTAGTCGAATAACATTTATTTCTTATCAATACAATAATTATTTACAAAAACCATCTATCTTTTAACTATTATGTTTGCATTTGTGAAAAAAAATTCAAGTTCATAATCTTATTCAAACACTTTGACAATCGCTGAAAATGTATACGCACAATGTGAACAAGAAAACTTTAGTAAATATTTGATTTGTATTCAGATTAGCAGATCAGATCAAGTAATATAGTAATGAATAAAATTGAAATATAATTTATGGATATAATCCAAGTAAATATAATCCTACAGAATTAATACAATAAAAATAGTCAGACAATCACACAACTAACTGGTCAAGTAAAAAAGATACATTGATATATATATATATATATATATATATATATAACTATTAGGTTTAGTCTTTAAACAGAATTGATCAAAAACGTTCTAACTTGTACACTATAGGGAGATTTCAAATTAACCAGTGTTTTCTTACTTTTATTAATCTAATGGTAATTCTTATGTGTACTGAAAAGTTCTCATTAACGTTTTTCCAATTCATGTTATTAACCCATTGATCTTGGGTTGCTTGGTTTCGTTTTTGGCTTGCTATTATGTTCGGAGTTAATAGTTGTTGGTGTGTAAACAGAATTGTTCTATTACAGTTTGGATTGTTATGGATATCAAACCTCGTCTGAATTCTTTGCTCCTAATAATAAAAATAATCTATTTTAATATCCCAATGAGTAGGAAAATTAAAATTTTTCTAATGTTTCGTGACTAATTGTAAGCCATTTCTTCAGAGATTAAGTTAAATCAATCGAAATTTGTGTAGTACAAAGGAATAAACCAGAGACATTTAATACAGTCAATCAAAAATGGGTGTGACTAAGTTAATGTTATCTCATGTTGGCCAAGATGATTCATATAAAGTATGTTTGTGTATTTGTGTTAAAGGTGTACAAAACGTGACATTTGTAATGTGAAAGAACAGAGCTGTGAATGATGCAATCGAACATGATGGTTTGGATAGATGATCCAAGTCGGATGGATAGTAAAGCTTACTTTGAGTCACGAACCGTCAAAAAAATATTAACTTTTCTACTCATTGGAATACTACAGATATATTATTTTTATTATTAACAATCCATCAAGTGCTTACCTAGTCATTCCTGGCTTTTCTCTTATACTGTGGGGTATTAGTATTACATGTTAACTATTTTATTCCTTAGATCTCATTTCATATTAGGAGAATCTCCTATTCGTGAGTAATTCTGAATCAACGTAAACTATCTCACAGTAAGGTATATATGTGGTGTGAGCTACTTACAACTTGTATATGACGTGAGTGTCAACGTAATGTCTGGGAGCAGAAGATGGGGGAAGATCAAGAAAGGAAGAGTGGGAACACAATGGAATTTGTATGAAACGCATGAATAGTGACAGTAGATTGATGTTTTGCAACAGGAACAGTCCATTTCGATATGATGAACTGATATTTTGCAAATTAACGATTTACGATATGGTTTTCCAATTTTACTGAGTAACTCTGTAATTTTCGCTAAATACAATCCGGTTGCCCCACCTGTGTTCTCGTTCACTACATATAGAGCTATATTTTCTTTATTAAATCATATATGCCCACCAGTTATTAGATCAAAAGTTTGAAACTCACTTCTACTTCACTTTAAGACAATTGCATAGTATCATTAGCTTTCAGAATTAAAAGCAACTGTGTATGCTTAGATCAGTACTTGGCATAGCGGTTACATTATTTTTTACCTTATTTTAAGTCACTTTAAGAAGTGCAATGTAATCGATTTCAAACATGTAACCACAGTATTTATCTGCTATTCAAATAGATAAATTTACCATTGATAATGAGATAGTATTGCATAGATTATTTCATTAGATATTAAATAACAATGTAGGAGACCATCAAACAAGCATATACAACAATTATTTACACACTCAAAACTTTTTGGAGGAAATAATATATTTGTGAGATTGATTTATGATTAAAACTAGAATAATAACAAACAAGTTCAGAGTAAATGATCAATCTCATGATAACGCACTACTATAGTTGAAGAAGTGGCATGTACTTTTAGTAAAGTAAAAGAGCGAAAATATCACTTTTACTATCGTTGTCTCTGTTTTGTACGTACGTAATGCATACTCATTTTTTTAAAAATCGATTTTTGTTTCCCATTCTTTAGATTTGAATAAAGAAGTGCACACAATTTCATGCTAGTTATCTAAACTTTTCAAATACACTTAGTAATCCAGTATAGAATCTTATTTGAAGTTTTCTAATGTAGGAATAGGTTGAATGAAAACTAGAAGTGACCAAATCAAGACAGCATCAATCTATGATGGTTTTAATATGGACTGAACTGTGATGGTAGGTGCAGGGTATATGGTTGAGATACGTGCAACCACCGTAACCAATGGTTACAGAAGTAGAGTAAGATGGCTCAGAATCGTTCACAGAGGCGTAGATTCATGCACTCTGTGTCCTCCATTAGATCTTGAATAAAGCGTAAAAAACTTCTACAAAGACTTATGTATAACTGAAAAGGTAAGAAGAAAAACTCAATATTTAACGGTGTTTGGATCACTAGCTTAAATCTATTGTGTATTATTACATAAATTAATGTTATTGTACGAAGAAAGTATGATATAATATCATCTCCAACTGGTAAGTAATAGTTCTAATTGAATCCACACAATTCTCAGTTGATAGAATAACAAAGGAAATAATTACGAACTGCATTTCAGCTATTACACTTTTGTCTGACGATTGGATTTGTGTATAACTATTGCTAATACCATAATTAGTTTTTTGCAAAACGCCCACTGTCTATTTCTTCTTCCTCTTTCCTCCTTCTCATAGGTTGATGTTATTGAAGCACAATTCTCACACTTGATTCATCGTTTAAACAATGATCAAGAAATTCAATTAATTCAGATTGCACATGAAGCCTATTTGGCTGGTTTACAAGCACAAGCATTATTGTTTATGCCAAATATAAAATCATGTATATTACAGTTATTGAATTGTTGTTGTCAATTTGTGAATTTATCAAATCAACAATATTACAATCATCATTTAACAAATATAGATGATAACCACAGTAATGTAAATCATAATCATGAACAATTTTCTAATGAAGAACAAGAGATTGTGAATAAATTTTATACTCAAGCGAAATTGCTATATGATTTATTAAATATTTCTTGTTTAACCGGTGCTAAAAGTAGTGTTAGTTTCAATTCTGGTCATCGTCAAACTTCCGGACTATTATCGTCATCTGGTACTGCTACTACTACTACTACTACTACGGCTAGTACCACTAATCCTCATTACTATCCGGGCACAACAGATTTAAATCAATTATTGTTACGATTAGATTTTAATCATTTTTATAGTGACTCACCAGAGAATTTGATTTGAATTGTGTTGTCAATCAGTGATGAGTATGTAGATTGTTTTTGTATTGTTTATATTTCTATTGTTTTAGCCTTTTATATCATCATGCATTTATCCATCAAATTACTACTTAATCTAATTTTCTTTTTTTTATGGAATTGTATATTTGGTAATGGTGAAAAAGTCATACAAATAGAATATAAAATTATATTTATTTTAATTATATTTTGTTTTAAATCATTGTTTTAATGTTGATGAAGAACACTAGTGTGTGACTTTAAGCATGTAGTGAAGTGACTGCTATGTATATATGGACAAGAAGATGAGATGTCACTGGCCGTTTCGCTACTCAAATCCGAATAAATAGGCAGAACGATTTAGTTTAAATTCTCGACATGTTGCGGTACAGTTCTGAGTAGTTGGAAAATCTTTGTTTTATTCATTTTATACATAGATTAGTATCTGTCTACCTCCAGTATGTTAAACTAATTGTTTCTGTTTGTGAAAATGGTATTTGGAATTTTAAGTAATACCACAGTTCTTTCCATTATTACTACTCCCGATCGTAGCTGGTACCTTGACATGGTAGTCGGGCTTGCTTATCATGATAACCCGACCGAGCTATATTGGCTGGAACACATGTTCCTGTAGGTCCTACCATGCCAGGCAGGTCGATTGGAGAACGATGAGATCTGATAAAAAACCTACGCAATGATCGTGAACAGTGGTGGGTAGCGAAAGCAAGACCGATAGAAAAGGCAGCGGCGATGGATGACAGTAAACAACTGATCAAACTTATCGAGGAAACTAGTAATAGTAATCTAAACGTTAGCGAAAATATCTCAAAAAGGGATGGTCGTATTTCTAGCAAACACTAACTTTAGGCATCTCTTGACCTGGCGACTCCCGAAGTCGTCTCCACGTTGGACTCAACTAGATCACATCGCCATCAGCCACTGATGGAGGGGTTCGATAGAAGACTGTCGCTCGTTGTGGGGCACATGTTTAGGTTCAGATCATGCTCTAGTGCGAGCTCGCATCTGTTTGAGGCTTACTGGACGTAGGAGAGACACGGTAAGAAAGCCTCTTAGGGTTTTACTTAATGTTAATCAAACTAAGAGAATATTTCAGGAGCAACTAGGAAGAGAGTCAAGCAACCATGTAAGTGATTCCCATCCAGAAGCAGGTTGGTATGATATCAGAAAGGCTGTGGAAACGGCAATGATATCTGCTAGTAAGGTAAACCAAAAGGCTAGGATGAAGCCCTGGATCTCAATAGCATCTACCGAACTGATGGATGCTCGAAAACTCATCCCGCCTGGCTCTGAGGAGCGGAGTCAGCTTAGACGTAGGCTGACAAAAAGCCTACGCAATGATCGAGAACAGTGGTGGGTGGAGAAAGCGAGAGAGATGGAAAAGGCAGCGGCGATAGGCAACTATTTAGACTCATCAAGGAAACTGGTATTAGGAACCCAAGTGTGAGTGAGACTATTTCGGAAAAGGATGGGATTATTATCCATTCTCAATCCAGGTGTTTGGATCGATGGGCAGGACACTTCAGCTGGCCCTTAGCAACACTTCGGTTGCCCACGATCTTCAGTCATCCTGAATGGCAGATTAATGTAAATCGTCCAACTCTTACTGAAGGTGATGAAGCTATAGAAACTCTGAAGCGAGGGAGAGCAGCGGACCCCTGAGATTTTTAAGGATGGTGGTCCAGTTTTAACAGGTAGATTGATTGAGGTCTTAGGTAGAATCTGGAAAGTGGGCGTAATATAATCTGACTGGTCTTAATCCCTGATTGTCCAAATTTATAAGAAACGAAAAAAGTTCTCTTATGATAGTCACAGAAGAATAAGTCTAATATAGCGTCTAAAATATTGTCCTCGATAATACTCGGAAGCTCAACTTGAGCTCGTGAAGAGCAGATTCCAGAAATCCAGGCTGGTTTTCGACCTGGATGTGGGTGTACAGATCAGATATTCACATTGCGTTAACCTTATACGCGCTCCCTACTCCAACACCTTTGGCTGAGTTAGAGATTATGGCGAACTGTCATCAAAATTCTTTACTTCGTGTGGTGTCAGACAGGGATGTCCACTCTCTCCATTCCTGTTTAACTTTAACCTGTCTGTGAAGGCAGCCGCGAAGTGACATCCGTCCTCATACCCATAATAGCACGCGAGACGAAATCGGTCACAAGCAAATCCTTCCTAAACCCCTTAACACTTCTCCTATCTCCACGACTAACTCGGGGTCTCGCCGGTATAGGTGTAGCATTGAGTCGTAGGGCTGAACTATCTCTCCTAGACTGGATCCCTGTAGACAGTCGCCTCTGCGCTGTCCGACTGAATGGGACAGTAAGGAGTCGGAAAGATAGAGACACTTGCCGTTGACTCTTCGTCGTTTCTTCCTACGCTCCCACTGACTGCAGTTCAGACGAGGTGAAAGATGAATTTTACAGAAAGCTTTCGGACTTCCTCCAAAACGTTAGGCGCTCTGATATAGTAATAACGGCTGGGGATATCCACTCTCTCCATTCTTATTTAACTTTGTTGTGGATATGCTTGTAGACTTAAGATTATCATCTCACTTTTCAGGATTAGACCTTCTACCAGGAGACACGCTTGTTGAAGTAGAGTAAGCTGATGACAGTTTTACTCGGTCAAGACGCTGAAAAAAATGCACAGTCTTCTGACTATCCTAAACAACCATGCAAGCATGTTCGGGATGCGGTTCTCCCCATCGAAATGCTTTCGCCAACTTGCCTCATTTATGGAGCAGGCGAGATATCCGTTTGCTAACCAAAGGACGAGTGTACTGCGCAGCAGTTCGCTCCGTACTCTTATATGGATGCGAAACATGGCCGGTAAGAGTAGAGGACATTCGTAGGTTACTAGTATTCTTTCATAGATGTCTTTGAAGCATTGCTCGTATATCCTGGGACAACCGAGTAAGCAATACTATAGTTAGGAAATGAGTACTAGGTAAGGATGGCAGATTAATAGATGAAGTGTTGAGGCTTCATCAGTTGAGGTGGTTGGGACAAGTGTTGCGCATGACCACTCACTGACTGCCTCGTCGAGCTATGTTTTGTGGTGTAGGAGTAGGTTGGAAGAAAGCTAGGGGCGGCAAAACTAAAACATCGCAGAAATCTATGAAGTAACTGACAAGTGGACTTAGTTATGTCGATAGATTCAGACTACCTGTTCGGCGTCCGCGAGACTAAAGTCACCGATGGTTAGAGACATTGAACGACACGGCTTAAAGTCTTTTGCAATGGCACGGGGGTTTCCACTATTTGTGTTTTCTTAAATCCCAATCTTCTGAATTACTAACCACTGTATCTTTTTAAGTTTATTTCACTAGATTATACTTGTTGAGCGATATCTCTGTACCCTAATCTCCATTACTGCTAATACTTCTGTCATTTCTACCACTATGGGATTCGAACTGACATTTGCGTCTCTGTTCTGATTCGCACGATCATATATCGGAAATAATCATTCTATAGATGTACTAGTGTATATAACTGGTGTGAACAGTCCACCAGGGTGTCAGGTACCTGTGTGAGGTTGCACCACGGGATTGAGCCAAACTGTCCAGGTTGTTGTGTTAACACACGTAGGCAGTCTCTCGTTGGTTCTCCTGAAAACCAATGTACAATTACCCTTGCCAATGGAAGGTTAATTATTGTATCATAAAATTATATCAGTTTTGGTAATTACTTCCAAAGAAAATTTATTTAACATTAAAAATAACCGTCAATAAATCAGTCTACAGTAACAGTTCAAGTTGCCATACCACAATAGCACAGAGATGTAATTGTCAATTCAAATCCCATAGTAGTAGAGGTAGTAGAAGTATTAGCAGTAATCGGAGAGATTAGGTAGGGTTCGACGATAATATTCAAGAAGTAGAATGTAGTGAAATAAACTTAAAAAATAAATTGATGGGGAATCCAGAAGGTTATGATTTGTGAGAATACAAAGAATGAATGCACCTGCGTCATTGAAGACGGTTTTGAGCCATATCATATCATTCACGGTCTCTAATCATCGATGACTAACATCTCGCGTACCACAACTAAGGTAGTCTACCTCAGTCAACATGACTCAGTCCACTTGTCAATGACTTCATAGATTCGTGCCATGTTTTGGTTTGGCCGCCCCTAGCTTTCTAACAACCTACAAAACATAGCTCGACGAGGCAGTCGTTGGTTAGGTGGCATACGCAACACATGTCCCAACCACCTCAACTGATGAAGTTTCAATACTTAAACAGATAACCTAGATTATAAGTGTGATGACTAGCTACCGTCAATCACAATACACAAAATATATATATTTGTAAACACATATACATAGTATAGTGTAGTATAATTAATAAACAAACCCTTCGACTATTGACTGGTTTTTGACGTCTTCTATTCGATAATATTGACAAATTACTACTACTATTATTGTTATTTATGCCTAAATCCATAAATAACGATTGATCAATTGAATCCACACTATTCTGTTCAAGTGTACAATTCAATGGAACATCGGAATTCAGATGATCAGATTGAGTAGAAGAGTTTGCGCAAAATTGTTGATATTTTTTGAATCGAGTCGTTTCAAGGTCGAATTCCAATTGATTACTATTATGATTAGGATAATTAATTCCATAGTGAGTAAAACATCGTCTATCATTGTATAAGGCCGTATTTATCACATTCTAGTGTACATACTTTTGTACAAATACGATATCCTGTGTTTGTATGTGTGTCTGTGTAAAACAGAAAGGGGGTTGGTAATACTTATGAATTTTAATAAATACTTCATTTTCGAGTGTTAAAATTTGTACCAAGCGCAGGAAAAATATGATTATTCCAATTCACTGATCTGACGGTCGTACAAAGTTTATGTTGCCAAAAAAAACAAAGAAGAATCTATCGTCTATTTAGTGATAAGACACTGTATATTAAAATAATTTCATAACGCATTGTCTTTATTTTGAACAAAATGAATACTGATTGCTGGCTGACATTCAACCGACTGTGTGTTTTTGTTTTAGTAGCCCTAAGGATAAAATTTTGTGGGCGTGACCATAAATTTCAATCAAATAGTGATAAGTTTAAATGTTAATAAAATATGTGCTCAATTTGTTCATGGGTACACAGTTTTTTTTAAAAAATAAAAAGCAATTGTTCAATTGGTTGTAAATCATTTCGATGCAAGATTTGATTAGTTGATTTTTATGGGGAATCATTTAGTTGTGGAATTTTTATGATTCTAGCGATTCGGAAATCACTTGTTCAAAAGTATTCTGGAAATCGTTTCACTAGTGTAGAATAATTTTTTTTGAGCTGCTTCACATTAATACGTAATCACTCTATTAGTGTGATATCATTTCTATACTAATCAAGTGTACTACATAATATATGAAAAATGTAATGAAAGATTATAGATCTATCAATGTATTAATGATTTAGAAGTAGAAAATAATGGCCACCGTAAGATATGGAATAACTTAACTAGAGTTTAAGTGTGTTACTGACGTTAGATCCCCACACTCACCTGATAAAGGTCCTAATTTTGGATTTTATGTTTTAGAGCACTGGCTGATTAGTTGACCTTGAGATTACATTTCCCACCTGAAAAATTCTTGGCTGTCATTGGTGGACGTATTCTTTTAGTACACTATTTTTGTGGCTCTCTGAAGGGCGTTTCTATGATGTATAAGTAAACTCGGTTTGTGTGCTTGTGGACCTCGATTTTTTGGGTGATTGTAGAATACACTTTCTACTCCATATCTTCTACTTTGTGGGGCCTTGGGACACTCGGATTAGACTAGCCCGCTGTGTCACTGGATCATTTGTCTCGCTCTCGTTTACCGACTGTTACTGAGCAATCTAACTGCATGAACCAGTAGTTTTATCTTGTGTTGTCAATTCGCATTTAGACATATGAATAAGTGTCTACGCAACCCAGTATTTTTCAAGCACCATACGGAGAGATTTGACAAAACTATTTAGCTAGATATTAGTCAAGAGTGTACATTTGATAAACTTAAAATGGTTCATCTTCGATTACTGTTTAAACATTGGTAGTATAAACGTAGCTATCCAGTTGGTTTTTCTTGTTACCTACAGTTAAATTCATGTACACACACACATATATATACAGCCGACACTGCACTAACCGATCATTTACGCTTCTATTTAACCAGAACTTATTCTTTACAACATTTTTCAAGCATTTTTAAGAAAAGGGTTTATTTTTAACGATAAAAAAAAAGAATTGATTGATGAAATTAATTCCTGAAACTGGACAAAATCACAACATCAAAGTAGCATATATAATGACGGTGTAATAGCTCAATAAATTGATAATTTACTACAACTACTAATAGTAACAATAGTTTTCAAATATTAAATTTTAGTAGATGACAAAGTATTGTCAAAGTAAAGCCAGTATTCATAGGGGTTAGGAAAGTATTAATTAAAAATGAACAAAATTTCTCAAGTATGATAATAATTAGTCCACCATCAAGTCAACATTAGTTACAGAGCTGTACACATTTTTCAGAAAAATAATAGGTGATAATAGGTGGTTTTTTCCATTGTCGGTTTTCTGCTTAAGAACAAACTAGTTATTACAGTCATTTTTTACTTTGATGTATCACACTGATTAATTTCGGTTTACATTGAAAAAAGAAGTAACAAAATCAATTATAATAATAACAATTAATCTGAACCAGAAAAAGATTAGAATAATCGCTGTCAATAACAACTATGAAAAATTAACCTTTTTATGACCAATTCTCCCAATCATCAGCCTAAAATTAAATTCAAATATACAAACAATTATGATCCATAGATTATTATCAAATATATTTGTATAATAAGTGAATCAAAGTAAAATGTTATTGAGTTTAACTAGAAAATGATATATTCTTTTCAATAAATTCTCTTCAGGTTCTACAATCGCATGTTCAAATTAGCAAAACCCAAAACTGGGCCTGGCTTAAGGCAAAATACATCATTTCAAATTATGGCTTGTTTGTTCAGGTTGGGTTGACTAATATGCAACTGTTAACTTGAATAAGCTTAGACACTAAATGAAAATGTGACATCAATGATCAGAATAATCACAGTTTAGATAGGGTGAGACGAACGGTAATGAAATTACCAAATTCAGTCAATGCTTAGTAAATTGATCACGTGTTTACGAGAAGAATAGTAATGTTAAACCAATAATAATACGAATATATTTGAATAAAGATAACAAAGACAATTACATTACAGTGGGAGATGTTTATGCACATGGGTCAAATTGGGTCATTCTATTGCCGGTGCGTCGATGACATATTCATCATTGTAGATCAGAAAATCAGTGAAGAAAAACTCCTTGAACAATTCAACAATGTACACCCGGCAATCATTTTCACTGGTGAAGTGGAGTATGATAAAAAGCTGACTTTCCTTGACGTCACATTAAGCAGGCGCAGTGATGACTCGCTAAGTAGAAGCGTATACAGAAAACGTCCCGCTACTTGCCGATACACTCACTTTTATAGTTTTACACCTATCCGCTACAAAAGAAATTTAGTTAGATGTCTCACTAGGAGAGCGAAAATGATCTGTTCAGTGGATACTTTAAGTCAGGAGCTGGAATTTATCAACAGCTCACTGACCGAGATCGGCTACCCTAGCGCATTCATAAGGAAGTATATGTTTAATGTAAAAAAGAAGTCAAAGATTTCGACCACTCAAAAGAAGCCTTTATTTATTACACTACAATTCAACGGAGATGTGGCCTGCGATACTCTTCAGGACATACTAACGAAAGTAATTAGTAGAACATTCTACGCAGTCAAACTAGCGTTGAGCTTTTCAAGTCGACCAGCGATGTCTACCCAAACAAAGGATAAGTTACCTGAGTTGGCCTCTCCTATGTGCATTTAGAAATTCAGCTGTTCCTGTGGAGATAGTTATATCGGGGGTGCTACCAGGCAACTTAACCAACGAATGAGTGAACACCTCCCAGCATGGTTTATGTAGGGCCAGTTAAAAACAATATGCAGTTCTATCTTAGCACATCTGGTTGATAGTGGTCATATTGTAGATAAGTCTAGATCTTTCCGGGTGATCCATCGTATACCTCCATAATTTTCCAACAGAGTTCGATTCCTTCTCCTACACATAGCAGAAGCCATAGGAATTTGAACGTTCAACCCCAATTTGTGTTCAGAAGAAATTCGTGACAACCCTATCTCTTCCGTGGCCGGATATGACTTAACTAACTTTTAAGTTTTTTCTAATTTTATTTTGTTATTATCAGCATTATTTTCTCATCCTGCATTTGTTCGTAGTTTTCTGCCGCATGCCGCTTATATTCTTCACTATCTAATTACGTACACACTTCTGATTACGTAATGGTTATTTTACTGTCTTCCTAATATCAATTTGTACTGTTGCCTATTATGTGTAGTGACATAATCTATTTCATTGTGATGATTGACTCGGATCGCCTTGATTGGTTTAACATATACATATAAATAAATATTCATGTATATTAGAGTAAAGCCTGATGATGATCTAAACGAAAACAATATTGTTCGCTTACATGTTGTTCTAATTTTTCACAATGGGAATCTTTAATATTCTATTATAGTTGGGATTACCATTGGTTAATTGGCCCTGATCTTGGCGACGGTAATAAAAGAGGTTGGACGTACTTCTTTTGCGCACAACTCCAGCTTTTATAATTTAAATGACTGTTGCAACTGCAGTGTTGGTCTCAATGAAAAAACTGAATTAGTTTGTGAAATATTCAACAAATTGAGAGATTGATTTGCTATAGTTTGCATCACGAAGTGACTTTTAGTAATAATTTAAAATCAGGAAAAAGTCAACAGCTATTTCACTCTTGTCCCTTACACTAGTAATCATATACACATTAGTGAGGGACTTCGAGAGGCTTTAATGAGAAGTTAGAGGAAAATGTAACTGGTCATCGAGCGTGGACAGACGGGTACGGCCTACTGACCATTTCATTTCCTCTGATGGATTTGTGCTCCGGACCCACCGTTTAAGACTGTTTGCAGTTGTGTGGAAAAAATATTGTGCACTGATTACTCTGGGTCTCTATTTTGGTTGTGAGTCGCGTTTCTAGTTTAACGTGATTTACTCTTTGCGAGGTGTACCGCCCGAGTAACCAATTCAGTGGTAACATGAAATTAGTCACTCATTTAGTCGCAGCATATAAAACAGTAGATAAAAAAGGCATCCAATACATGCGTGATATTAAAAAGCTATGAACAACATGGTTCATTTGCCTCGAGTGTTACTTAAAAATGACACCGGAAGGTGGTTGGGTAATACAGCGAATAGATTGAAGTACAAAGGTAAACCACAGGATGTTACACCAATGGTTTAAAGGTTAAAGACAAACCGTGAGACCTGCATACCCTCGTTTCAACTACTAGTAGGGTTGCTATTGAACACTACTGCGGAGTCCCACAGTACGATAAAGTAACTGTCCAATGCTTCTTAATTTTTAATTGTTGTCTAAGAACAATTTGTATGTAAACTGAAATAAATTCACAAACTAAAACACAGCACAATTATTATACTACAACGTTAAAGTAATCAAATGTCAAATTAGACCACACAAATCCGGACGATAATTGAAAAATGATCATTACAATTTTTAACACCACTTATAGTGATCTACAGTACAAAAAATCTTTTACTTGAAAGAAAACGAATTACGAACCTCATCAGTTAACTGTGACTCAGAATTCCTCGTGGTATCGGTCTCGTCTGTAGCATTATTATTATTATTATTATTTTTGGTTGACTTTTTATTGGTTTTGTCTATTGAACAATCTTCACTTTCATCAGAATCACTCCAAACTTCATCATCTAAAATTACAAATATTGGAAATAAAATATAAAACAAATTTAATTTAAGACTTATTCAACTCATTTATGAAATGTCTAGGTTTGTGTACTTGGCCTTGAGTTACACTTCAAATGTGAGGGTTAATAACGCAACACCTAGTTTCTTGAACCGTAGTAGGTAGAGCAAAGTTCGAATCAAATACGTCCTGAAATTGAAACACATTAATCAGTGAGGCACCCTAAATGATTAGTTTGATTCAGCTACTATTTGCTGTCATGTAACCTAATCTTGAACTAACTGACGTTCTCGGTCTTTCTCACTGAATCATGCTTCTTGAATAATATCTTCAAACCATAATCTCTCCGATTACTTTTACTACCTCTACTACCATGGGATTTGAATCGACAATTGCATCTCTGTGCTAATGTGGTATGGCAACTTGAAATGATGTACGTACGTACGAAGTTCTACGTTGCGGTTGATTGATTGAACGTTCTACGTCGAGGTAGGCAGATGTTAAGGATGAAGCTTTCCAGATGAATGAAGTGATCAACATCCTCAATGAATAAAATAAAGTTTCTTTTATGATATGACTTGTATAGCAAACTAGAAATTTTGTATCACTAAAAATTAATAATATCTGTTATGTTCAAGTATTAATACTGGTACTCGTTTCTAGACATTTCGAAATTGTGTAAAGCATATGTGAATTGAATCACTTGTCTAAAACAGTCAGTGTTTTATAGAACTTAAGTCTTTTCAATAAACTAGCTACAGTTCATTGTCTTTCAACTTCATCAAGTCAGTGCAAAAGTTGAAAAATTGTTAAAAATGAAAAAGGAAACTAAATAATCTTAAGACTTTTATCTTTCAATGATTTAGAAAAAAACAACATGTTACAATGTGATTATGAATAGAAATAAAATTCATAATATTCAAAAATAGGAGACATTACCAGAAATTGAAGTTTTATGTTCAACAGTGGGTATTTCAGAAGAATGAACGATTGGTTTGTCGGTTGTAATTGCCATCTCCACTGTCATTACATCATTCTCTACTTCATCTTGACCAACTTCATCTGTAAGTATCACAACTGATGATGGATCAGATATCATTTCTTCAAAATCTGACAAGATATTTGTTGAATTTTGATTTTCTGTCTACAATATTAGAAAACAAACACAAGATTAACAACTGCAACAAATACCATTTGAGAAATGGTATTCCTTTTTTTTTTTAATGGAAACATTGATTAAATAGAAATCGAGAATGAAAATTTATTTTATTAGCGTTTGTCTTATCACCAAACCAGCGAATCTTTTATCAATTGAATTGTAGCCCAAAACGTTCAATGGTAACATCTTAGACTGCCAGGCTGAATGACACGAGTTCAAATTCAAAAGGGAAGACTAGTCTCCACAAAACTGCACATATTAAGAAACATATATTCAAAGTTTCTTGTCGATTATCTCCAGACTGTTAGATCAGAACAAATATTGAATGAATAGCAACTTCCGGGAACAATTTATGGACTATTGTGGATGAGCACTGCTGATGAGTCCCAAACCAAGACAAAATGGCCGTCCAGTGTTCCCAGGTTTCTAATGGTGGTTTAACATTGATCGATTTATGATTTCAAAGTAACTCAACAATCCTCACAACCTTATAATGCATACTATTATATATATTCTTATTGTATAATTAAAAAGACACTACATTGCAATTAGCCATTGGTTCATTGTTTATTATTCTTAACCTGCTGCCAGTTTTCTGTTCATGTATAATTGTTATTTTTCATTTTATGATGTGTTGAAGTCTTGTTTCCTCATACATAGCCTGCGTCTGTTTGAAATATAAATATAGTACAAGCTGGTTGCTGACTTCTGGACTCAAGGAAAGAGCAGAGAGCTGTGAATCAAAGTTGAAAACGTTGAGCAGACGTGTAATTAGCTGGATCAGAGACAATACAAACATCTCAACAACATGCATATAATAATTGCATAGCAGACTAGTAACCAAGCTGCAACTTGACTGATAGAATAGGATCAGCAATAAAAGTTTGGGCAAATATGGCATTGGTCAAGTAATGATTAGTGATCGGTAAATGTAAATTGAATAGATGAATCCATATAAAGACAAAAAAGCCTACACGTGAGTAGAATGAAGTTCAAATGTATACTAATAATATATATATATATATCCAATAATAATAACAATAATAATAATTTTTATTATTATTAAAAATGTTTCGATGCAGACATGAAAACAAACATCAATTTAAACTAAATACTAACACGTCAGTTATCTAAAAATCAATTCAAAAAGGAGAATAGATCAACATAACTGAACGATATTGTTGTGTATTATATACATGCTTTCATTCAACATTTGAATCTAAAAGTATGATTCTTATTATTGCATTAGACTAAGATTATCTTTAACAATCAATCAATAATTTAGTATTCATTTAAAATAAAGTACAAATGTAGAAAAAGAAACCCAGTAAAGTACAGCATAGAAACGAGTTAATAGGAATTGAAAAAAAAAATGAACTTTTGCATTTCTTTTTGTATGAAATTTAAAAATCGAATAATGTTTACTTTATATCATGTTACATGAACAGTAGATATACAGTGGTAAATTGTTTAGAACATTTAAAATCATGATGAAAAACGATTTTTATTTTCATCATCATTGAGTAAACATGGATTGTGTGTGTACAACAAATATGATCAGTATTGCTGAACCTTAATTCTCTAAACAATAATAGTTTGGGGGTTTGGAAATCTGTTTGCCTTCGAATGGTTCAGAAAGACAAATGTTTTATATCCATAAGAACAAACTTAGCTGTCAATATTTTCTCGCTCTATAGATAGAAAAACCTGTAGAAGGCCTTATGTAATGCTGTTGGTTTTTTGCGCGAAGTACTCATTTTTGATTGACTGACTGGTGGGTAGGGAGAATCCAGATAGCGGAGTTGAAAAACCTTCATTTCAAACCAACAGTGCACACAGGCCCCAGTATACTGATGGAACGAATGGTGTATGAACCTAATGTCGGCCACCGGCTACCATAGGAACACATATCCTGATGTTGCTCTACCGCTTTGTGGATTAGACCTCCATGTCAAAGGCCCAGGGAGTGAGTGGCCTTCCATTTAAACCACCTGCTTTGGTTTGGGCAGCCAGGCAGTATTCCAACCCACTCACAAACTGACTAGTTTGTGTGGTCCTTTGAATCAATGTTTATGTGTTTAAATAAATAAATCAATAACAACTTGCTAAAATTATTCATGGTTGTTTTAAGGTTATCACCTTTATAATAAACTCTTAACATTAAGCCTAAGAGGTTGTGATAAACCATTGATCGAAAATAGATAAACAGATAAAACATACCATCTCAGCCAGATCAGTAACAATCATAAGTTGCCAGAATTCAACACTGACCCAAATGAGTTGTGTTGCTAATCGAACAAACTCCTGATAATTTCAGCTTACTTGCTTTGCATAAGAATAATCTCAGCGGACTAACTAATCTATGCATGGTTCAAACAGTCAGATATGATGGACAAATTCACATGAAAGAAGCGCTTTCACTGCATCTTTTTGATAAACAGATGTATTATTTACATCAATAGACCTGTTAATGAAGTAGAGTTGAGTGTTTGAAATGGATTGGAAAGTCATATTAGATGGAGGACTAGTATAATGAGTATTTTTGTTGATATTTTTAAAGCGTACTTGACTAATTAAAGTACGCCGAACATTTGTTTCTAGTCATATGACTATTTTTAATTCCAAGCTGTTTATAAACGATGAAAATTTTCCATAATAGAATGACTTCCATTTTATTCTCCAGATCGAAAATCGTAATTTGTAGACGAACTGGTAAGATTTAAAGCTGTAAGTCTTGGATTTAGATGCGAAATTAATTCATTCATAGAGTAGTTGAATAGCATTTCGGCATTACAGTTTGCATTGGAAAGCGTAACTCTAATTTCTAACATTAACTTTAAACTTATATAGATAGCCAATAAGAAGATGCCGGACGGCGGCCACTGTGGACGTCCTCAAGGACGAGTGCATATCAGTGGTTAAGAGATGGGTGCATTTTCTAAGGGAGCGGAAAATATATATCTTAGTAAGCAACCGAATTTTTTCATGGTTACTTCAGCATCCCTCAAGGGCCGTCCGTAAATTGTAATCTCACTGTTTTTCCTGTCAAAAGTTTTATCGGGATCACGGAGTAACGTGAGTTAGACGGCCATTGGAAATCTGGGCACTCTGGTAGTTATTTTATTCTAGTTTGAGAATCCCCAGTAGTGATAAATGTAAAGGAAGAAGATGGTAGCGCAACACTGCAAACTGATTGAGGTTAGATTTAATTCTGAGTGACTGGGGTGTCAGTGCGTACTGCCGAGGAGTCCCAAACTATAATGAGACAGCGCTACCAGGTTCTCAATGACTGTCTAACTTAGATTAGTTCGGGATCTCTATGGCATTCAAAAAGTACAACAACCTACATTTTATTAAAGTTATATCTAGCACATAATGTACTTGAAAAAAGGAGAGTATCATACGTTTTCTCATGTATTTTGAAATACACACACACGTCATCCACCTTATAGGTATGTGTAGTGTGTTCACTTTCTTATTTCATTTTATTCAATATATTGATTAGAATAAACAATAATAATATAGTTGTTTAAATAAAAACCATTATCTTAAAACATGATAAACGCATATATTATACATAATGACGATATTGTAAAAAGAATAAAATCTTTTATAAACAAGCTAGTTATAATTATGAAGCGATTGACATATCGTTTTATGTTGGGGACGCTTTGTCACGACTCATTAATGATCAAGTGGTGGCTGAGGAAAACATGGTGGTCGCATCTCTGTCAGTAGAAGACCACGCAGAATGTTATCTGACAACCGCAGTTCGCGCATTACCGGTGTCTGCAACAGACATACAAAATGCTTCTAGAAACGGCCCCCATCATCAAGATGATGATAAAATATGTTAACAACGGTTGACCGTCGAAAAAGTTTGAAGGTGACATGAAGCAACTGTATCAGCGGCGGGATTCACTATGCATCGTGAACGATTGTCTGATGTTTGGTGAAAGAGTAGTGGTGCCGGAATCCCTTCGTGCAAAAGTGCTCAGACAGTTCAATCTCGGTCATCCTGGGATTAAACGAATGAAGTCCATAGCCAGGAGTTATGCATACTGGCCTCACATGGATCAACATGTCACAGCGTTGGTTAAAAAATGCAAGCGGTGTCAGCAGGAGGCAAAGATGAATGCCGAAATTCCGCCGGTTCCATGGCCAAAAACTGAGCATCCCTGGTCCAGGATACATGTCGACTTCGCTGGTCCAATTAATGGAACTATGTATTTAATTGTGGTTGACGCCTTCTCAACATGGCCAGAAATCAGCCCCGTTATGCCGCCCACTACAACTAAGACTATACAGCTCCTAACTGAAATTTTCTCGCGAGATGGCATACCAGATGTGGTCGTATCCGACAATGGCTCTCAATTCACCTCTTCCCAATTCCAGACTTTCTATCAACGGCTAGCCATTAAACACTTACGCTCGCCACCATACCACCCGCAATCGAATGGGCAAGCGGAAAGGTTTGTGGATACATTTAAAAGAGAATTGCTTAAGTCACAAGGGGAGGGGACACCAGCCGACGCGTTACAAAATTTCTTGTACGTCTATCGGACAACACCAAATGAGTTGTTACCGGAGCGAAATTCCCCAGCAGAAATCCTGATGGGGATTGAAGATTGAAAACGATCCACAGCCTGATGCATCCGAGTAATGCACCAACATCAGTAGAGACAAAGCCGCAAAGACAATCCGTTTACGAAGTGGGATGCCCTGTGTTCGCCCGTGACTACAGAACGAACCACGATCCTTGGGCAGAAGCGCGAGTGGTCAGAAGAGTTAGTCGAGTTATGTACGAAGTAGAGGTAGGAGGTGATAAATGGTCACATCATCGAAATCAGATACGCAGACGGTTAGCCCCAGATCGCCCAAGAGCAGAAAGCCTTCCCCTTGACATTTTGCCTGATACCTTCAACCCACCGGCAGCCCCGCCACGATAAGAGACTCAGCAGCAAGCTGTTCTTCGTTCCCGAAGGTATCCTCTCAGACAGCGGCGAACGACAGTCAAGGTGCAAGTCGACCCCAGGAGTACACGCTATTAAAAAGGGGAGGAGTGTTGGGGATGTTAGATCCCCAAAATTCGCTTGTTAAATGTCTTATTTTTGGATTTCATGTTTGTCAGCATGGGCTGGTCAGTTGACCCTGAGATTTAATTTCCCATCAGGAAAATCCATGGCTGTGATTGGCTGCTGTGTATTTTAGTGTGCTATTTTTGTGACTGTCCCAAGCACGTTTCTATGATGTATAAGTAAACGAGAGTTGTATGCTTGATTGTAATGTGATTGTTGGGTGTTTGTAGAATATACTTTCTACGCTTACAAAGCCTTTTATCTTCAGCTTGGGATTCAAGGTAGCCTATCTGGACGCTGGTAATTGTCTCGTTCTCGTTTATCGGTAAACTCGTAATAGCCTCAAGCATAACTAGTGACGAACATATCATTTTGGACTTGACTTAAAGAATAATATAGAATGACAATGCGAAAGAGATTTTTATGTGATTCGAAATCACAGCTTGTATGGCTGCAAAAAACGTGGTCTTTAATGGCAGTGTGGTGGTAGGTTACTATTATCTGGATTGTTTTTGAGTTTAGGGACTGTCGTGTAAGTAATGCTTAGCTTAAACAAAGGGTACCACCTGAAGATGATAAGCCAGCCGATGTAGTTGTGAATCATTGTCTAAAGAAGCATTTGATCCATGTTGACAAGCGCAATGTGAGCCGGTGCAAAAGCAGCAAGAAAAGTAAGGATGGCCAAACCAAGATACGACATCGGTCTATGGAGCGACTGATTGTTGGACTGAGCCATGTAGATAGGTGCAGACTATATGGTTAGGGTGCATTAGAGTGTCATAACCAATGGTTGGAGACGCTGAGTGACATGACTTGGAATCGATTGCAGTGGTTAAGATGCGTTTATTCTTTGTTTCACTTCAGATCATGAGTCTCAAAATACTCATACAATTTTTTTAATTTCTCGAATTGATTCTGAAGTCATACTATTTACACCTAGACTTTTCTACTACTGACAATCATACCATTTCTGCTACTTTGATGTTAGTTATGGTAATCTCATGGTACACCGATTGGCACCAATGGTAAGCTATGCTAGGCTCTCCTTTGCTTAAGATTGAGTATGGTTCGAAGGAAAATAAAGAGATTGAAAAATGAAAAGTACAGAGTAATGATAATAATAATTGGAATAAGCAAGGTTTATATAGTTTTTTTTCAAGTTTTCCAAAATCAAACACTCACAAAATCCATTGAGATCATGAACCAACTCAATGTTAGACCACCACTTGAAACTTGGAAGCACTGGATAGCCGTTGCGTTTCAGTATGAGACTCTTCAACCCCACAAGCGGTAATGAGACTCAGGACCATTGGTCCCGCACACTAGCACTTAACCTCTAGATCAGTGGGTGGACTGATTGTACACTGCTGAGGTATTCCATTCTAGGATGAAACCGCTGATCTAACATTGATCGGTTCATGATTTCAATGAAACCTAACAGTCTCCAAATACATATATATATTGTCCCTACGATTTTCTGTTTGATTCACTGTTATTATTTAAGTACGCTTCCATTCTATACATAACTTTGAATTTGTTATGACCTCAAAGGTCATAATAATCATGTTATATCTCTCACCTTCAAAATGGAGTGAAAATGGTGGATTAGCTAGTGAATATATACACAAATCGTCAATTAACTTGTAACGTTCACCACTGCTAACATGCATACTAAATTTAAAATAATAATCGGATTATTATTATTATCTGTTATTAAAATAAATATACCTTTTGTTTTGCAAGAAGTGTTTTTATTTCTTAGAGAGTTAATGATTGAATAGGTGAATTTTTATGATCATTATAACCAATGGAATTATCAGTGTAAGTAGGCATTAAGATATTCTCTTACAAAGTAATCATTTGTAATGCATAAAGATTTGTGCGAATGAGTTAACTTACTGTTGAATCAGATAAACATTCAACTTTAGTATGATCCAGTTTATCCGATATAATTTCTTTATTATCACAATTTATTTCTTTCAAGGGTTTATTTTTATTCGTTGACTTTTTAGAAACATGTTTTCTTTTAGATTTACAATCATTATTTGATTTTTCATTGAGATTATTACTGTCACCATCAAAATTACTGTTACTGTTGCTAGTAGTAACGGCAGTATCTTTATGACAGTGTTTTGTGAATTTTCTTTTATTTGAAATTTCCGAATTATTCTCCACGGTTGTATGATCATCACTATCTGGTGAATCTAAAAGAAAATGTAATGAGTTTAAATTATATTTTAAAATTGCTGTCTAGACATGAATAATTTATTTGAGAAATGTATTCAACATTTTTTAGGTATTCTATTATTAGCACATAACTCCACCTGGAAGCCGTCTGGGGCTACTGCCGTTCCAAAGCCCGGATAAAGGAGGAGTGTCGGGGTTGGGGTTGGCCCACAATAAACTAACTTGCTGGAAAACCGCTAACCAGAAAACATTATTCAAACCATTTTAACTCTGCCCTGGGAGTTAGAAGGTCTACTTTGAGAAGAGTTATGACATCTCATGATAAAAAACGAGTTTCTTCAGAAGGCCGATGCCCCTTCTGACAACCAGAGCAACCATTATTTTAGGTACATGGGACGTTCGAACATTGTGGCAGACTGGAAGACTAATCCCAAGTTGCTGCAGAAATTAAAGGATACAACCTGGAGGTGCTTGGGATCGATGAAACTCATTGGAAGCAGGTTAGACAACCGAGACTAGCTTCAGGAGAGCTGATGTTATGCTCCAGCCATGAAGAAAAAAGTTCCTCACACACACAAGGAGTTGCACTGATACTGCCCAAACAAGCATAAAAGGCACTGATAAGATGGGAATCTCATGGACCCGGGATCATCAAAGCATCCTTCAAAACAAAGAAATAGGGCATTACAATGTACATCATCCAGTGCTATGCACCTACCAATGACTACAATGACGATGTTAAAGATCAATTCTATGGGAGGCTCCAGTCAATCGTCGACTATTCTGATGGAAGGCATAAACGACTAGATTAGCATGGACAACACTGGATATGAAGACATCATGGGACGACATGAAATGGAGAAAGGAACGAAAATGGTGAGAGATTTGTAAATCTATATGCCTTCAACAAACTGGTCATCAGTGCGACAGTATTCCTACACAAACGCATACGCAAAGCTATATGGATTTCACTGGATTACACTACTCAGAACCAAATGGACCATATCTGTATCAACAAAAAGTTCAGAAGGACAATGGAGGACGTGAGAACCAAGAGAGGAGCTGACATAGCCTCAGATCACCACTTGCTGGTCACCAAAACGAGACTAAAACCCAAGAAACATTAGACGACGGAGCGGACAACATCACAAAAGTTTAATGCGGCTTTTTTTCGGGATACTGGAAAGCTCAACGAATTCAAGATAGCCCTCAGGGACAGGTTGCAAGCCTTGCACGATGTACTCAATGGAAAGGAAACAATTTTGGATAACCATTGGAAACGGTTCAAGGAAACAATCACTTCAACATGTCAGGAGGTTCTGGGCCACAACAAGTAACATCACAGGGAATGGATCTCTGTTGGTACTCTTGAAAAAATTAATGAAAGGAGTAACAAGAAGGCTGCAGTCAACGTTAGCCGAACAAGAGCAGAGACAGTTAAGGCACAAGCTGAATACACAGAAGCAAACAGGCAAGTGAAGAGGGGCATCAGAGCCAACAAACGAAAATATGTGGAAGATCTAGCAATGACGGCGTAAAAATGCTGCAAGAGGAGACATGAGATAACTGTACGATACAACAAAGAAGCTCGCCGGAAACTATCGTAAACCAGAACGACCAGTGAAAAGCAAGGAAGGCAAAGTAATTTGCAACACTGAAGAACAGCGAAATAGGTGGGTAGAGCACTTAAAGGAACTCCTGAATCGACGCGCTCCACTGAACACACCCAACATCGAAGCAGCATCCACGGACCTCCAAATTAATATTGGCGCACCTACGATTGAGATCAGTATGGCCATCAGACAAATCAAGAGTGGCAAAGTAGTGGGACCAGACAATAATCCAGCAGATCCAGTGAAAGCAGACGTGGCAGCAACCGCAAAAAATATTCCACACTCACTTCAAAAAGACTTGTTTCTTTCCGACCGTAGCTGCTACCTTGACGTAGTGGTCGAGCTTGCCTATCCTGATGACCCAACTGAACTATACTGAATGGAACACATATTCCTGTAGGTTCTACCATGCCAGACAGGGTCGATTAGAGAACGTTGAGACTAAAAGCAGTTACTCAAGGTCTGAGGGCGAAGTCGTACAGCTAACTGTAGAGGCGTGTAACAGTAGTAGGTTGTTTCCCTCGGACAACCAGCATCTACAGAGATGCTGCCTTCTAACAAGCAAGGAAGGGTTGGAAAAAGTCGACCCTAAAATTGTCACACCTCACCTTACCTCAGAGATTTTCGTCTCCGGCGGTAAGACCTATTTAACAAGAGCGGATTTAATTCTCTAAATACTACCAATAAAAAGGCCGTGCGAGACCGGCCTCAAGCAGTTGTCCCATAGACTCTGAGGTCACACTACCAGGTCGTTAAGACCAACACAAACTTACCTCCGTTTTCAGGTTCCTCAGGAAACACCCTTTCACGGTGTCGGCAGCCGCGAAGTGACATCCGCCCTCATATCCGTAATAGCACACGAGACCAAATTGGTCAGAAAGAAATCCTTCCTACACCTCCCGAAATTTCTCTTATCTCCACGACTGACTCTCCTCACATTCGTCTATCACCCCGTACCGCTAATGCAAACGATGTGAAATCACGAAAAGCTACTCCTGGTCTCCTGAAATCCCGTTCTAGGCTACATGTTGGAGCTTTCAATGTCAAACAGGGCAAAAGGCTTCATTAGCTAGCACTTTAGAATTTCGCACCAAAGATGTATGGTGCGTCTACGGTTCTCGCTTGTGTTAGTATAGCACAGAGTTCTAGGAAAGAACTATCTCTCCTAGAATGGATCCCAGCAGATAGTCACTTGTGCGCTGTCCAACTGAACGGGACAGTAAGGACTCGCAAAGATAGGGAAACTCGCCGTTGCCTCTTCGTCGTATCTGCCTACGCCCCCACTGACTGCAGTTCAGACGAGGTGAAAGATGAGTTCTACAGAAAGCTTTCGGACCTTCTCCAAAAAGTTAAGCGCTCTGATATAGTTATAATGGCTGGTGACTTAAATTCTCAAGTAGGTAGACTAAGTGTAAACGAAAGATACCTGGGTGGATCTTATGACGTCGTGCCTTAGAGAACAGATAATCGCGACTGTCTGTTGCAACTGTGCTTAAATAACATCTTTCGACACGGCGACCAACAAATTCGTCTCAGCATTGGACCCAAATAGATCACATTGCCATCAGACACCGATGGAGGGGTTCGATAGAGGACTGTCGCCCGTTCTGATGCACATGTCTAGATTCAGATCATGCCCTAATGCGAGCGCGTATTTGTTTGTGTTGTTACGCTTGCTTGAATAATTCCCAGCTAATTCCTATTGCTTAGTATTCTCTGACCTAAATACACTGGGCAAGTTTCCAAATCAGAACACGGCGGAAAAAATTATATTCCCAATAGCAAGGTTAAATGGAAATAAGAAGCCAAAGGCAAAAGAGATACAACGTTAGGTTCTTAACAGTATTCACATGAGAAGCTTCTGGATTGTAATTCACGTGATCGACTGATTTAGATTTAGCCAATCAGCGTGCAGCTAACAACACGAGAGCTTTCTACCCTATTCTCCAAGAATCGATCAGGCGCTGATTGGATAGGAAATTAGCCAATCAACGCGCAGCAACGTCGTCATGCTTTAATTCCATCTACGTCACACTAACAGTTTGAGGCTTACTGGACGTAGGAAAGACACCGCAAGGAAACCTCTTAGTTTTCTACCTAATGATAACATAGCTGAGCATATATTTCTGGAGCAACTAGAAAAACAGTTGGGTGGCCATGTAAGCGACCCATGTAGATCGCTTCATTTATCTTAGGAGTCTCATCAATGCTGATAGTCTGGTGTGTGATTAAATCTCAGCACATACGGAAGGCTCGATTGGCTTTTGCCAAATTGCGTCTCTTATGGCCTAGACGAGATATCTGTTTGCTAAACAAAGGACGAGTGTACTTCGCAGTAGTTAGCTCCGTCCTACTTTATAGCTGTGAAACATGGCCAGTCAGAGTGGAATATATTAGTAGGTTACTGGTTTTCGATCATAGGTTTCTGCGAAGCATTGCTCGTTTATCCTGGGATAACCGAGTAAGCAATGGTATAGTTAGGAAACGAGTACTAGGTAGGGACGGCAGATCTATAGATGAAATATTGGGACAAGTGTTGCGTATGACTACTCACCGACTGCCTCGTCGAGCTGTGTTTTGTGGTGTAGGAGTAGGTTGGAAGAAAGTTAGGGGCGGACAAACCAAAACATGGCAGAAATCTATGAAGTAACTGACAAGTGGACTGAGTCATGTCGGTAGATATAGGCTACCTGGTTTGGGTCCGCGAGACTAAAGTCACCAATAGTTAGAGACCTTGAACGATATAGCTCAGAATCGTTTGTAATGGCGCAGGTGCATTCATTCATTGTGTTCTCTCAAGTCCTAAGCTTTAGAATTCCTCATCATCTCCATCTTTCATTTTCTAAATTTGTCTCACTGAGCCTTACTTTTTGAATAATATCTTCGATTCCTAATATTCTCCATTATCAGTAATTCTTCTACTATGTCCATCACTATGAGATTTGAATTGACAGTTGCGTCTCTGTGCTGATGCGGTATGGCAACCTGAACTCATGAACGAAGTTCTACGTTGTAATTGACTGACTGACTCAAAAAGTTTTGGGATGAAGAACAAGTATCAGCAGACCGAAAAGAAGGATAGATGATGGAAATACCAAAGAAAGACGATCTTAGCAACTGTGAGAACTATAGAGGCGTAACTCTCCTCTCAGTACCAGGAAAAGTCTTCAACAGCGTGCTGCTAAACAAAATGAAGGATTTTGTATACGCACAACTTCGAGATCAAAAAGCTGGATTCCGTAAAGATCGATATTGTACTGACCAAATTGCTATATTACAGGTCATTGTGGAACAATCAATTCAATGGCATTGACCACTCTACATCAACTTCATTGATTACGTGAAAGCATTCGATAGCATGGACAGGACAACACTATGGAAGCTTCTTTGACACAGCGGCGTGC